AAAATGGTCAAATCACGATTTTTTTGACTGAAACGTCGTTTACCACAATGGTTTTTTGTTCTTTAATTTCATTCAACTGTTTTTCACTTGTGTGATGATGTATACGTGAACAAGGCTTATCTTTGTAAACCAAACTGGCCATGTATGACTATTACATACCAGGACTTGCCATTGTTTCTTCTAAAAATGTGTATAAATTAAGGAAAGATTAAAAAACATCGTAGGTATGTAGGAAACATTTTCCCTTGTGTTTGGATGTTTTCTTTTGAACTGAAATTTGCTGGTCTGATCTGTTAAACGTCTGCTCTTTGTGTATTTTATAACTACGGAAGTTTGATCTGGTCTGGTTGAAAACAGTCCAAAAAAACATCCTTCGTAGACAAAATGTTTTGTAAAACCTTTTGACTGCACTAAACATATAAATATGAAAATACATTTCTTCGAATCAAACGCCACATCAAATTTGAGAATGATGCATTATCTCTAATTATAAGGGTCATTTTGTTGGTATTAGTGAAATCAAATCACAGTTAGCTACAGCCCACCTCACCATTTTTTTTGCTCCAAATTGAACAAACTCAACCAAGTCAATAAGCTTTTAATGGGATTGGATTTAAGAATCTAGTCCTTTTGTGTGCTTGCATATTCCAAAGAAACAAGTGCTGGGATTAGATCGACCACCATTGCACAGATGAAATGCTTCTTTTGTGCTTGCTATTTTTCATAGGTAATTGAGCAACAATGCATTTTGAAAAAATGACGCCAGATAAATCACCGCCTCCATTTATATGTTGAAGGAATCTCAGCCGCTCTTGACCAAACTCTAGCCGGGACTAACCAGCATAACTATAAGTTCCAAGTCCTCCCCCCCCCCCCCCCCCTCTCTCTCCCTCCCTCCCTCCCTCCCTCCCTCTCTCTCTCACTCCAGGGGGTCTGGGGAGGGGTCTGGGGGAGCCTGGACTCCTGGAGTAATCAGAACTGAAACTCACTCGATTGAGTTTCAAACCCTTGTGTGTCTAGCGAGATTCGAACTCGAGACCTCCCACTAGGGATGGACCCGGTCCGGTCCGGTTCCAATTCCGGGCCAGGCCTGGGCGGGCTTTTTTTCCGGTTATATGGGCCCGGAACCGGCCCGGGTTGATACCGGGTCCGGGCCTAACCGGGCCGGGTCGGGCCCGGTTCAATGTTTAATTTTTTTTTGGCTTTCTTGTTATCCCCCGACCCCCCCCCCTCACCCCCACCCCCCAAACCTCCCCAAAACACCCCGCGCTACCCTAGGAAAAGAAAAAAAATTGAAAAACAAAAAAAAATGAACCGGGCCCGGCCCGAACCGCCCGGGCCGGTTCAACAAAAAGAGGGCCCGAGTCCGGCCCGCCCGAACCGCCCACAAGGGCTAAAAGCCCGGAACCGGCCAACAGGTCTCAGTCCGGTCCGGGCCCGCACAGTAGCGGGCCGGTCCGGTTCCGGGCCGGTTCAGCCTAGTCCACCCCTACCTCCCACTAGGCACGGTAACCTTGCAACCAGCTCTATTGTCTTCGGCTCATAGAATGGTAAAATCATGTGCCTCTATTCGATCGTCACAATCTCATGTGAGAGATTACTAACTTTAACGGAAAAAATTGCACAAGTCAAACGGATCTCAAGGTCTGCTGCCACCTCAAGATAGCCTAAGATGATAAAACATTATTCTAACGCCTAAGGCCGCCATGAATAACCCTACTAGCACCGTCTTTGGGAAAGTACTCTTATAGAATACGTAGTACTATATTAACTCAAATCACAAATACGAATACGGAATATCCTTAAATTACCTGCAAAGGTTCTGCTACCTCAAGATGGCCAAAGATTATAAGAAATTGTTTAATGCCTAAGGGCCATAATGAATAACTTCACTAGCATGACTTTGGGAAAGTACTAACATAAAAAACGATATTAGCTCAAATCACTAATACAAATATCATTACATAGTTATGCACCCATCAAAGGTAACAAACTTGACATATTCACGACCAATGGAGTAACCATCTCATAATCTCATATTCTAGTTTAGAAAAAGGAACATTCAATACATGCAGTTGACTTCAGACACATTTTATGCATGCAAGATACGAGTTTAGCTTTGTTAGCCTATCGAGTATTGATACATGCAGGATTTGGATGAAGGATACATATTTTATATGGGAAACTTGCCGAAATACGAGTAAAAACGTCTTGAAATTTCAAAATAAGACTTTCGTATTTTTGTTCTAAAAATTTCAAAATTACTATCAAGTTTGGAAAATATTATCATGCTTAAAGTCTGATTATGCCATTTCGTTTTGACCATAATTACTTTTATTTAGAGAATAAAAACAGTACCATTTTAAAATTCATAAAAAGTTTTTTCTTATTTAGGGCAATTTCTTATTTTATACTCCGTATTGAATCTTGTCATTAATGGAAAACAACTTTCCACTTTTGGATTTTTGTAACCCATCACATGTCTTGTGGTTTAAAATGTAACTGACGAGCACTTTGTCACGGTGCGTCAAAATAAATTCAATACTAGCACTAATACGTAATATAGTGAAGTAGAGTTTGTATCCACAGGGAAATGAATAATTCTCTTTTTAATAAAACTAGTTAAATAAAGGGGGTTTTGGGATTGAGTGATTTAATCTAATTAAACACGAAGATGAACGACTTAATTGAGATTTAATTCAAGAATAAAAAAGACTTAGCCTTGCTATTTTCCACTTGTTGATATATTTTAGTCGATCATTGTTACTACCTCCGTCCCATTTATATTGTCCCGGAAGAGGGTCACACAGTTAGTAAGAAAAGTGGGTTTGTGTGGTTGATATTAGTTGATAAAATAAGAATAAAGTAAGAATGATTTAGAGCCACACAAACTTTGCCAAATATGGTATGAGACAATTTAAATGAGACTTCCGAAAAGGTAAAACGGGACAATATAAATGGGACGGAGGGGTATATCTATAACTTATCCCATCTCAGCTAGGGGTGGGCAAACGGGTCGTGGAACCGCGGTCTGGTCCGGGTAATGGCGGTTCGGGTCAAAAACGGGCCGGTTCCATTTTTTGTTGCCATAAAACGGTCCGGGTAGGGTCAGGTAATTTTTTTTAAGGAACCAGACCAGTTCCAAAATTAAAAAAACGGGTACCCGGCCCGGCCCGGCCCGTTATATATATTGTATATTAATTTATTAATAGTTTTGTGATAATCGGTTTTGAAATAATTTTGTTTCCTTTGCTAGAAGTAGGATTTTAAATTGAGTTGCAGTAACCTCCTTTTGTTTTCAAATTATTGATTAAATGTTTCATAAATATCTTATTACTTTTTATTGTTATTGAATTATTCCTTTCTATGGAATTTAATTATTTGTTAAAAATGATTTTGTTATATTTTGTTTATTTTATTGTTCTTAAAATATAGAAATTGTGTTTACCACCCACCATGTATGTGTCAACTTTGGCTAATACTGAAAATTTAATATAAAAAAAGCAATCACTTTAATATGTGATGTTAGACAACATGTTTAAATACAAATGTTAGAAAATATGTTTTTTGGCTATGTTGCATATTTTTGGAATTTCTTTAATTGTTTGAAACTTATATACATGAAATTATGGAGTATTGGACTTGTCGTTTGTGTTACATGTGCACCACTATGTTGTTATTTTGAAACTTGCTAATGTCCTATATTATTAATTTTTGATTTTTGGAACTTCGTAAGTTTTTACTAATTTCAAGACATGAGAATAGAAACCGTAAAACCCGGACTGGACCGACCCGTTTCAAACGGGCCGAGTAATTTCCGGTTCCTGTTTTGAAAATTGTAATACCCTGGACCGGACCGAAACGTACAATGGAACCGACGGTTCCATTTTATTTTGCATTACCCACCCCGACCCGGCCCGTGCTCAGCCCTACTCTCAGCTCGAATACTCAATCGAGGAGTATCTCTAATTCATCGAGGGTAGTTATTAACAACGACCGTTTATTAACAACCCTTACTATTAATCAAATATAGAACAACGCCGTATACCGATTTAATAGTAGCATTTAATCTCTTAAACTCCTTGATTAAATCAATTGAGATTGATAACCTCAACACAACGGTTTTGGTTTAACCAACAAAATTAATCCCTCTTAAGTTTATTAATCACGACCGTGCATTAATAAACCGAAGTTACTTACTTGTTAAACCATCAACGATTAACCATCGGTTCGTTAAACGTTTCTAGTAATAATTAATGTCGGAACATTAACTAATCGTCACTTAGCAACCCTCCAACATTAATATAAAATGAGATTAAGGGAAGAATTAATAATCAAGAGAAAAAGTAAAGAAAATAACTCACAACTTTAATAATCAACAAGCTTCAAGAGCAAAACCAAGAAATGAAAGTTTAGCTCCTCATTTGGAGACTAAACATGCTAGAAAAATATAAAGAAATGTTATTCTAAACTGAGTTTAAGAGTATGGAAGAAGGAATGGAAAATAGTGAAGGAAAAGTGTGCTATTTATAGGTGTTTTTCAACACTTTTGGCCGGGTACCCGACCGGGTCAAGTGCCCACTGCCCACCCGACCGGGTGCATGTCAAAATCAAATAATCTTCCACGTTCTTGTGTTTCAGCACGTCGTTTTGTCTCGGGTCACATCTGACCCGACCGGGTCAAGTAGGGGACCCTACCGGGTCTTGCAACTTCCTGTGCATTTCGGATTTCAAATCAGACCCGACCGGGTTCAGTATCTGACCCGACCGGGTTTTGTGCTCCTGGGCATTTTTGTCTTCAACTTTTCTCCTTTTCCTTGCTAAAAACTCTACCACTATTCTACAACTATAAACGGAAGCTAAAAAACAATTACAAACAAAACAAACGCTTACAAACTAACTAATAACGGTAAACAATCCACACAGAATAAATATAAAAACATACATTTATGCACTATAAACTAGTGCATATCAGTAAGGCAATGATGAAAGAATCCATAATTACAGTGAATAATCACGTACTGAAATCCGAAATCCAAGTTACTTTGATTTGAAATAATAATTAGATACTGAATATTATCACCCGAGTTATGTCAAAAATATGGACCAGGAAGCTGCATTACTTTGATTAATCACGTACTGAAATCCGAAATCCAAGTTACTTTGATTATTTAACAACTTCCTAGTGAATATGTGAGACGACTATTCAAATACCAAGCAAAGGCGACCAGCAAGGCAACCCTAGCCTAATGGTGAGACAATTGATAAAGCACAAGTTTTATTACAAGTTATATAGGGGTACATCCATATTCGAACACACAACTCTAAGTTATATAAGGTACATCCGTATTCGAACACAAGTCCATTTTGGACCACAAAAAATATGATGTACCATGAGTCTATGACAGGCCGTTTAGATGAAATTTATTTTGCATTTTCCATTTTGCACCCAGAGAGCGAGCTGAATCAGTACCTGTTACCCCATGCGATCAAGAGCGTTGGTTTAAACATCACACGGTCAAAGATACGCCTCTCTGAGGCTGATTTGCAGGGTTCTGTGGCATTATTTCCCAGGATGTGACTTCTTGCATTTCATCAGGTAGGAGGATGAATGGAAGAGAGATCTCACGGATCATCAAGTCCCCACAATATGGACATTCACTAGCAATGGCATCATCCAGCTGTGACCGAATCTGCACATTATCAATCCCCAGGGCAAAGATCAAATCCGTAACTCATTAAAAATGTGAAATTCCAAAATATGACTGAAAAAATAGTTTTCGATGTGGTTTTAGTCACAATTTGTATCTTCAATTAAATCACTGAAAACTGTGAAGTGTGAAATATGCAGTGCCATAGGAAAACCTTTTCAATGGGTGTCAAGCTAGCTATTGGATGATCATCAGATAAAGCACCGTTTGTCTCCTTCCTGGGTTCACTGTCCAGCAAAGTTAGCTGCTTCTGCAGATCCAGTATGTGTTCGGCCTACAGCATTGTTAAAAAAAACGATAGTAATAACTTCATAGTTGGTCTTTAACGCCTAGTAATACTGTGAATTATCTTTTGCAAAGACACTATCAAGTCCAAATTATTGAGTTCCATAGTTCTGTCCTGCTTATTGATTTCGGGATGCCACATTAAGGATACAAAGTCACCTAGGAATATATGAAGGATTCTTGGGCGGAAAAAAAGGTTAAAGGCCTATTTATACAAATACAAAATAAATAGACATCAACACACTTACACATTTCCACAAGTGTAAGAGAAAAATCTATCTAATTCACAAGTCCTTTGTGTTTCTTCAACCTATTTACCTTCCTTATCACCACATAACAAACATATGTTTACAGAGTGGATTAACATTTAAATCTTTCCAATTCCATTTACAGTTTTTATGCTGTTCCAAGCTTTGTTTGGTTGAGGAAATCAAGCTAGATATAATGATCATACTGCATTTAAACTTAACTCATGCACTCCGTATCCATTCCAAACTCATGCATGCCTTTCAATTTTCAAAATAAAACAAGGAATTACATTTTTTAATACTTTCCAAAACCACTAACTGGAAGAAACAAGAGTTAGTTTGATGTTTGTTTATTTGTTCCACCATCATCATTAACCAAGTGCCGCAAAGGTGAGACTTCGGTGGGGTCGGATGTACGCAGTCTTACCCATGTACTATAGAGCACATAGAGACTGTTTCCGGATGACCCATAGTGAAAAGTGTGCCGAAAATTGCATGGAGTGACTGCTGGCCGCTGCTTCATAATAAAGAAGCGCAGTTAGTTTACTGAGCCACTTTGCTTTATTCCATTATATTCCCAAGCCAAAAAATAGTGAGTCTTTGGCTCCATTGCAAATGATGAATTATGTTTGTTTATTTATTTCTGGGAAAATATTATTTTAGGTGCCTCAATTGTTACACATCATGTAACCTATTGATTGTCTTACCATTTTTGTAAATATATCCCCAGTAGTCTTAATTAGTGTGAACTCGGTCCCCCACTTCCACAGCTACCTTTAACACGTTTTTAGTTAGGGTTTAATGGAGGTAGCTGTTGTCCTGAAGTTCCATATTTCACAAGCCATCCTAATGAAATGTTAAAGTGTTCAATGAATAGTGTCATGAGTGTTGTTAAACCTAAACCGCACTGGCTGGTTTGGCTGGTTGAGTTGGGTACCAGAGGTCTAGTAAGTTGAGAATCCATATGAACCATTTCATTGCTGAACCTGATTGAGCCAGATCAAATCGGGAACTAGACCAAACTTCGGGAAAAATCTTGAAATAGGAGTAAAAACATTTTGGAAATCGAAAATAGGAGCACTGTGTTTCATTTCCCTAAATATGGCAATATACTGCTATAAGTGGCAATATTTTCTAAACATAGACAATTATTACTCCTATTTAGGGAATAAAAATATAGTGCTCCTATTGGAATTCTGAAACGTTTTTACTCCTACTTGGAGTAATTTCTTGTGCCAATTTGAGTTTGCACCCCATTTTATTGTCCAATTTGGACTTTGCACCCCATTTTAAAAATTCTTTGTTGTGAAAGATATAGAATATACTTTAGAATATTAGAATATACTTCAGAATATTCTAGGAATATACTTTAGGATATATTATTGTATAGAATCTTATATAGGAATATTCTATTTGTAATGTATATTTATAGGGACTTTCACAACTAATGAAATACACAGAAAATCCTTCTCTCCATCTTTATTATCATTCTAGTTTATATTTCAACATGGTATCAGAGCCTTCCATTTCATGTAGCTTTTCCTTTGAGATTTCAGTTTAGTTTGTCATTATCTCTATCTCAATTTAGTTTTCAAACTGTGTTCTTTATTCAAGAAATTGATTTCAGTCCACAGTCTTCAAGAACCTCTGATCTCAGACTTTTCCCAGAACCTTTTTCCAGAACTTCTTCCCAGAACATCTTTCCAGAACCTCCCATCTCAGAAGCCGGCAAGCCTTTTCACAAACATCTTTCCAGAACCTCCCATCTCAGAAGCCGGCAAGCCTTTTCACACTCTGGTTCACCCCCCTCATCCTCCGGTTCGGCTGCCGCCGTCGACCACCCACCCGGAGTCTGCACGCCCAAATCACCTTGCGTGAGTTACACGCGCCGTCGGAAGCTCCCGCAGCCAACACACGCGCCGGCGCGTGACGCCGTGTTTCTGGCCGGAGATTCTAACGGCGAGCATAGTCAGATTCGCCGGAGTGTCCTGTAGCAATATCCAGGTATAGATAGAAGGAGGGTTGGGTCTTGGCTGGCATCGGAAATCTGCGTTATCTTGCGGACATACGCACGCTCATATCTGCGGACATACGCACTGTTTTCGTCTGGTTGTTATTCAGTGGGGATTTGCATAGGAATTCTGTCTGGAGTAGCAGTCAACGGCCCAAGCAAATTGGATATTCTATTCTCCAAAGTTTAGTCCACAAATGGGAAAGGCTTATGTAAGTTTTCCACCTTTATCTCAATTTTGAATTCAAAAAAAAAAAAAGGTGATAAAAAAAAATGTTCTGTCCTCGTGAATTTGGAAAACAGTTAATATGCAACTACTGTAAAAAATCTGGGCACTTGATCAAAGAATGTAGAAAATTGGCATTCAAAAATCAAGGAAATTCGACTGCTCATGTTGCTTCCGCTACCAGCTCATCTGATGGATCCATTGCTATTTCTTCAGGCGAGTATGCTAAATTTATTTGCTACCAAGAATCTCTAAAGCATTCCTCTATCCCTATCTCGGTAGTCGCAAATTCAGGTATTTCAAACACATGTCTTGTTTCATCATCCTCGAAATGGGTCATTGACTCAGGTGCCACAGATCATATGACTGGTAATCCTAGTCTATTCTCATCATTTCACTCGCATTTACCTACTTCCAGTGTCACTTTAGCTGACGGGTCTACCTCACCCGTTCTTGGATCCGGTACTGTTGTACCAACTTCTACATTACCATTATCGTCTGTTTTGAGTCTTCCTAATTTTTCGTTTAATCTGCTTTCCATCAGTAAAATCACACGTACTCTTAATTGTTCTGTAACATTTTTTCCGGGATATTGTGTGTTTCAGGATCTGTTAACGAAGCAGACTATTGGTAAAGGACATGAGTCGGCTGGTCTTTATATTTTGGATACATCAATCACAAAAGGTATCTCTTGTCTTGGGGTTGGAAATCTATTAGAAGCTCATTACCGATTAGGACATCCATCTCTCCCACTAATGAAGCAAATACATCCTCAGTTTAATAAGGTGTCATCTATACAATGTGAGTCGTGTGAGTTTGCAAAACATCATCGCACTAGTTTAAGTCCCCGACTTAATAAACGAGCAAATGCTCCGTTTGATCTTGTCCATACCGATGTTTGGGGGGCATGTCCAGTCGTGTCCAAATCTGGTTTCAAATATTTTGTTACTTTTGTTGACGATTATTCTCGTATGACATGGTTGTACTTCATGAAGCGTCGATCCGAGTTATTTACTCATTTCTCTGCATTTTGTGCTGAAATTAAAACTCAATTTAATGTTCCTGTTCGTGTGTTAAGGGGAGACAATGCCCAAGAATATATATCTGCTCCATTTAAATCTTTTATGCTTCAACATGGCATTATTCATCAAACTTCATGCGTAGACACACCTCCTCAAAATGGAGTTGCTGAAAGAAAGAATCGACATCTGTTAGAAACTGCAAGGGCTCTTCTATTCCAAATGAATGTGCCTAAACAGTTTTGGGCTGATGCGGTGTCTACTTCATGTTTTTTGATCAATCGTATGCCATCTTCTGTTTTGGATGGTAAAGCTCCTTATCAATGCCTTTTTCCAAATAAAGAACTTTTTCCCATTCCACCTAAAATATTTGGTTGCACTTGTTTTGTTAGAGATGTTAACCCTCATCGCACGAAGTTGGATCCCAAATCATTGAAATGTATTTTCTTAGGTTATTCTCGAGTTCAAAAGGGGTATAGATGTTTTTGTCCAAGTACAGGTCGATACCTTATTTCTATTGATGTCTCATTTCATGAAAATACACCTTTGTCATCATCCAAGACAGATATTCATGAGGACAATGATGACATACTCATTTACACATAGGGTTGTAAATCAATCAAATAATTTGTGCTCGATTCGCGATTCGAATTCGTATAAGACGATTTGAATTCGGAAAATTCAAATACAAATACAAATATGAATATTAAATTTGATTCGATTTGTTATCAAATACAAATAAGAATATCAGTGTATTCGATTCGAATATTAATCAAATATATTCGATTAATAATAGTGATAATATTATTAATAATAATATTAATAATAATAGTAATAACACTATAATAACTTTTAAAAGATAGCAATACTCTAAAGTGTAGTTCATATATACATTTACGCATACAGATTCTAAGTCCATTTGTAATAAATCAGAGTATAAATACGAATACAAATCGGGTTTTTGGTTCAAATGTCTTTTAAATACAATACAAATAATTATGTACTACGTGTTTGATTCGCAGAATAAAATTAGAGTCATCTGACTTTGATATATACAATTATCAACTTATTTCACACATTATAAGTGTAATTTCTAATATGTGTGTTAGTGTTTATTTCAAAAAGTTTGAAATAGATTTATATTTATTAATCATAAAATTGATTCACTTTAGTATATCGTGCACAATCTAAAAATGCATTGATCCATTGAATTTAAATTCTAAAAACACATATTAAATCATAGCATACATTTACAACATAAAAAAATATAAGGAAATTTAATTTTAAGTGATATTTGACTAATATTTAACCTATGCTCAAATCTATTCGATATTCGTATAAGATTCGTTAACTATTCGTATTGTTAAACAAATACAAATACAAATCGAAATTAATATTCGTTTCATATTTGAATTCGAATTCGTATTCGAAAAAATTAAACAAATACAAATACAAAATCCCACTATTCGACTCGATTCGATTCGTATACAACCCTATTTACACAGTTACTATACCTGAGGCCACACCTTCAGTAACTATACCGAATGTTACTGTTCCTGACCCTAGACCTCCAGTACACTTGGTTTACACCCGTCGACACAAAGCACCAGATCACTCTCCACCTGTGACACCTGTGATTACTTATCCTGATACTGATCTGACTTCGATCTCATGTCCTGAACCAGTACCTGCATCTTCAGATCTTGTCTCTACATCAGATCTTGACCTCCCGATAGCACTACGTAAAGGTACACGGGCTTGTACTCATCCTATTTCTTCATTTGTGTCATATAGTCGGTTATCCTCTGCCTCGTGTTCTTTTATTGCTTCCATTGATTCTATTTCTGTTCCCAAATCTGTCAAAGAAGCTTTGTCTCATCCTGAATGGCGTCATGCCATGGTAGAGGAAATGAATGCTTTGGATCTTAATGGTACTTGGGATTTGGTAGAATTGCCTACAGGGAAGAAGTCTATTGGATGTAAGTGGGTCTTTGCTGTTAAGGTTAACCCAGATGGTTCTGTTGCTCGATTGAAAGCTCGATTAGTTGCGAAGGGTTATGCTCAAACCTATGGTGTTGACTATTCTGACACTTTTTCTCCTGTTGCTAAATTAACATCTGTCAGGTTACTTATTTCACTCGCCGCAACTCATGATTGGCAGTTACATCAGTTGGACATTAAAAATGCATTCTTGCATGGTGACCTTCAAGAGGAAGTTTATATTGAGCAACCTCCGGGATTTGGTGCTCAGGGGGAGTATGGGAAAGTTTGTCGACTTCGCAAATCTCTTTATGGTTTGAAACAGAGTCCTCGTGCATGGTTTGGAAAATTCAGTCAATCTATTGAACAGTTTGGAATGATAAAAGGTCAATCAGATCACTCTGTCTTTTACAAAAGAACGAAAGCAAGTATCACATTGCTTGTGGTGTATGTCGATGATATTGTGATTACAGGAAGTGATACTGCAGGTATTTTGGCCCTTAAGAATTTTCTTCATAGCCAATTCCAAACAAAAGACCTAGGCTCGTTGAAATACTTTCTGGGTATTGAGGTAACACGGAGTAAGAAAGGTATATTTCTATCTCAGCGTAAATATGTACTTGATTTACTAGCTGAAACAGGAAAAATGGGAGCAAAGCCAAGCACGACTCCCATGGTTCCCAATGTGCAACTCACCCGAGAAGGCATACCATTCGAAGACCCAGAAAGGTACAGAAGATTGGTTGGAAAGCTTAATTATCTTGCAGTCACCCGTCCAGACATTGCTTACTCTGTGAGCGTTGTGAGTCAATATATGTCATCTCCGACCATTGATCATTGGGCTGCTGTAGAACATATATTATGTTACTTGAAAGGAGCACCAGGACGCGGGATTGTCTATCAAAATCATGATCACTTGAGAATAGAATGTTTTGCAGATGTTGACTGGGCCGGATCTAAAGATGATCGAAGATCTACCTCGGGCTATTGTGTCTTTATTGGAGGGAACCTAGTATCATGGAAGAGTAAGAAACAGAGTGTGGTTTCTCGTTCGAGTGCTGAATCAAAATATCGAGCTATGGCGCAATCTGCATGTGAGATCATGTGGATAGGCCATTTATTGAGTGAAATCGGATTGAAGACACCAATGCCTGCTAAATTGTGGTGTGATAATCAAGCTGCCATACACATTGCCAACAACCCAGTATTTCATGAGAGAACAAAGCATATTGAGGTTGATTGTCATTTTATTCGAGAGAAGATACAGAAAGGATTGATCTCTACGGGATATGTGTAGACTGGAGAACAACTTGGAGATTTGTTCACTAAAGCACTAAATGGGATCCGAGTTGGTTACTTATGTAACAAGTTGGGCATGATAAATATCTATGCTCCAACTTGAGGGGGAGTGTGAAAGATATAGATTATACTTTAGAATATTAGAATATACTTCAGAATATTCTAGGAATATACTTTAGGATATATTATTGTATAGAATCTTATATAGGAATATTCTATTTGTAATGTATATTTATAGGGACTTTCACAACTAATGAAATACACAGAAAATCCTTCTCTCCATCTTTATTATCATTCTAGTTTATATTTCAACATTTGTATTTGCACCCCAACCCCGTATCCAACCCCGTATGAGAAGACAAAAATGCTCCTCGATCAGGAATATGTTGAAGGCCAACAAAATTGTAAATGGAGAGGCATTTTTGTCTTTTCATACGGGGTTGGGGTGCAAATACAAAGAATTTTAAAAACGGGGTGCAAAGTCCAATTTGGACAATAAAATGGGGTGCAAACTCAAATTACCCTCTAATTTCTTTTACTTTAATCAAAACAATGTTGTATACATTTAAATGAAAATTGTGATAAATAGGTTCATTTTACAAACAATTTATTTTAGGCTTACAATTCAAGACTTAATTAGAGCATAGTATTTCAATTTTAACAATTACTCTATTATATAATCATTTTAAATGAATAAACATGTCAATGTTATACAAGTTGATCTGGTTGAGTCGTTGATAGATAGATCTGCTAGATTACCATTCCTATTTTAACAACAATGAGTGACATGAGAGGCTAAATTTCACTGCTCACAAAATTTTAATATCTGCATCTTAAAAATTTAAAAACAAGGGACACATGATTTTCCATCATTTGCAATGGAGCCAAAGATTCACTATTTTTTGGCTTAATATAATGGAATAAAGCAAAATGGATCACTAAATTGTCTGTGCTTCTTTGTTATGAAGACCAAACAGTCAGTTCATGCAATTTTCAACGCAATTTTCACCATGGGTCATCAGGAAACCGTCTCTTTGTGCTTTAGTAAAGGGGAAATGCCTTTGCGGCATTGGGGTAATGATGATGAAAGACAAGGGACACATGACATAATGATGGAATAATGAGAAAAAAGGGTGATTTTCTCTTTGCTATTTCGGGAAAAGCTAACTACATGCCTCAACGGCAGTAAGGCAGTAAGTTCCCGAGATGGGAAACAATAATTACATGCTAGTACAAATTTACCACATTATCGTTTTAATCACGGCAATTTTTGTTTTTTTAGAAAGAGTATGGCTTGCAGAGACTCGCTGGATATTATTATTATTATTAACTGCACAGAAACAATGGCTAAACGCCTAAAACTGCAATGCCAAATATACGGGTTAAAAAAATAACAGCTCAATCATTACTTACCTGCGATGGTGTGGTGCACCTAGTTACATGTGCAATCAGGCAGTGGGCATGGAAGGAGTGTCCGCATGGAAAGACATAGAAAGGAGCCATTGGTCCAACAGCTGTATATCCCCTCGCCATTCCGAACTCACCACCCATATTTAATATCTTTCGCCTGCAAACCTTTACAAAACCAACAATGCAGACTATTATCATTATAAGTAGTAGTTTTTTTTATACGGAGTAATAAAGTAGCCACGTTCGCAGGAAAAAAAGCCACACTTCCCTAAAATTGTTAAGCTTTATCAGCCTTGGACTAAGATGTTGGCACCAAACACAATGCTTCCAATGTGTACAAGTTAGCATAAAAATTTGTATTGCTTGTATAGTTTATTACTCTAATACATATGAGCCATATTAATTTTTCTATAATTCTCTAATCTCTACTAATGATGGTAGTAGTAGTATGGTCCCTAAAGGTGCCAACCAGACGAAACTTTTACTATAGCACAACTCATTCCACAAGACAACAGCACACACAAACACCTACACACTTGATGGTATGAGCAGACAAGAGAAGACAATTTACCCCACATTCCTCATCACGATCAATAACAGCATATCTCTGAGCAAGAGCGTTAATATCATTTCTAATGTTGTCAGCGCCTCGTGTTGCATCATTCATCTCCTGCTTCAATTTTTCAATTTGCTCATTGTAGTCATCTAATGATGAGCAAATTGCTTCCTGAATTAGTTTGGCAGTTAGTCCACATTCTAAATGAATGAACAAAAACATGAAGTCAAAGCAACAGAAAAAAGATGATATTTGCACAGGTGAGTAAACTGCAGACCAATAATAATACAGACACGTACATAGTCCAAAAGAATAGTGTTTTCTTGTTTCTTTCACTAAAATATCAAAGTTTGAAGATATTTTTTTAAATGCCTACGCATCTAGCATATTTTCAGTAGCCTGGTCAATAATCAATATCCATTTGGTTTCATCACAAGTTCTTGCTAGAGTGGAATATCTCTCTAACACATACATCTGAAGTATTATGTATAAAGTATAAACATCGCAGCCCAATAGTTTAAGATGAAAGAAACGTGTTGGCTCAGTATTTAGTCTGAGCATCGTACTCTTAGTTGATATTATTATTCTTGAAGATTGACCTTCCTTTGAAAAGCCACTTACCATATTTATGTGCAATTCAAATCCCAAATATGAAGACATGAAGTTTTGACATATATCATCTCCCTTATCCGCCTTTACTCCAGTCCATCCCTAAAATCCTCCAATCATATAGGTATCATTCATAGCAACAGAGGGTGGTTAATGTATATATAGGTGCACTGGCGGAGTCTAATTTTGGCTAGAAACATGCTATATTTCTAAATGTAAGTATGTAACATGTTAACAGGCGTGGAAGAAGGGGAACTCAGTTTGACAATGGTGTACCACATGTACACCTGTCTCGTGAAGGCATGAAAGCATGGGTGGAATACGAAATACCAGTGCTTGAGGACAATGCGAATTGCCAACATACGATCTGACCGATCTTCATAGATAGGTGTAAGTCTAAGAACTTAAGAAGCACAGAAACTTCCGCTGATGTTTCGGTAACTTGGAAGCATGTTGGAAACTCGGACGCTTCAAATTCCTTTTTTGGGACTGCCTCCGTAATTAAAAAGAAATGAGAAACCCACTACCCTTGATAATTAACATTCCGGTGGGATTTTTTATGGAAAAGAGTGTCTGCTTTGAATCTTTTTAGTGATTTTTAGGATTTCTTCCTAGCAACATTGTGATATTTCATATGGCAATGCAATGCTAGAAAAATATTGCAATTTATGTTTAATACTCCCTCTGTCCCAAAATGATTTGCAAAGTCAATTTTTCTTGGCCAACACGGTTTCTTTTGATTTTGCGACTTTATAAAACTTTTAATGTAGTTTCCAAATGTGTGAATTTTAATTATTAAAACTACTTTAACTACTCACAAGGACGATTTAACTTTATCCTTAGTCAACCTTAAAATTCGCAAATTGCAATTCAAATCGGGACGGAGGAAGTACTTTAATTATGTACTGATATGTATTAATTTCTAAACTTGGACATGTAGACTATTTGTTATTCACTATTAAACAATGTTACATAAAAAATATGTACATATATATAAGGCAAAAACTTTGATACGTATATATGAATAAATATTAATAAATATATCCTTATATTTTATTATATTTACACATTTCTCCCACGTTTCATATCCTATATTTTTAAAATCATGTTCATGTATTTCGCGTTTCCGTGTGTACTCTATTATTATATGAATTAAACATAGTATATACTATATACTTTGACCCATGATAAACTTCTTTGCTTCTTTTTTTGACTGACTCAGAATGAACTTCAATTTCATTTTAAGGAAATGGTTGGGTACTTGATAATTTTCGAAACCTTTTTTAAAGTTTAAACAAACACCAATCATACAATTGAACTGTCTAAATAAGCATGTCTAATCAATTATGAACTTTATATTGGGGCGGAAAGAGTACTATATTTTCATTATTTTTAAAAGGGATATTTTCTGGAGTAATCCTTAGGTTCAAGTATTTTCACTCAAGAGACTAGTATGATTGTCTCGTAAATGACTTTGCGGTATACTAATTCCAATTGCTTAACCAGATATATGAACTTTAAAAACGCATGATGTTATTGTGATGAGCCTGTCTCATGAAGGCCTGACTGCCTGAGCAACTGTGGGTCTGCCAACTATGACGACACATTTTGTCTGTAAGTTATAACTCCATCAAGGTTATTCTGAGCAAATTGTGTAGTAGAGAGTAATTATGACAAAACTCACCTAAGTGTTACCTCAAGAAATTTCAATGTTTCAATCTCTCACTCAGAGTTATTTTAAGAAAGGGAAAAATAATAAAAATACCCCAAACTTTGAAGGGGTGTGAGGAATAGTACACGAACTGTAATACTTCTCTTTGTATTGAGTTTGTTAGTATCTGTTAGTGCTAATACAGTTAGTTAGATATCTGTTAAGCTCTAGTACTATAAATACTTGTAATCGGTTCATGAATAATAAGATTGGTTCATTTCTTCCTAAATCCTTCTTACTTTTCTAATATGGTATCAGAGCTCTAGCTCGATCTACCATGCCAGAATCAAACTCGATCTCGTCTTCTTCTTCACCTACCTTTCCCGCAACCTTCACTCATCCACTTCCAATCAAGTTGGATTCGAACAATTATCTCATCTGGAAACATCACATCGAATCTGTGATTCGTGCTCATAAACTGCTTAGATTCATCGAAAATCCAAAAATTCCTGATCAATTCATCGGTGAAAATGAAGCAACCAGAACTGTTAATGACGCGTACATCGTCTGGGATCAGCAGGACCAAATGTTATTTTCGTGGCTGCTTTCATCCTTGTCTGAATCTCTTCACGCTCGAGTAATTCAATGTCAGCGATCGCACGAACTCTGGAGCACAATACGCAAATTCTTCCAAGCCAATGTAGTCGCAAGAGCTAGGCAGCTCAAATCTGAACTCTACAACACCGGCAAGGGAGAACGAACAATTTCTGAATACTTGCTTCGCATTCAAAACATCGTCAACAATCTTGCCCTAGTTGGTGAACCTATATCCAGCAAAGACCACATCAACGTCATTCTCGAAGGTCTTCCAGAGGATTATGAATCGCTGGTATCCTCTGTTACTTCTCGCAGTATTCTAGAACCAATCACCTTATCTGAACTTGAATCCTTGCTTTTAGCTAAAGAGATGCGTATGAAGAAACTTCGTGATTCAACTCAGACAACTATTTTCTCAGCCAATGTTGCTCAAGCTGAAGTCTCCTCTCAAAATTCAACTTCTGAAACTTCTACAGCTATTGAAAACTCATCTGCCAATATTGCTCAGTACAACAACCCCAACAATGGAACTTCTTATCGAGGACGAGGTCGCGGAGGTTTTAACAGGGGCAGGGGTGGTCGCTCTGGTGGGCGCACTTCAACAATCTGTCAAGTTTGTGGAAAATCAGGGCATCATGCCTTGATTTGCTACCATCGCTATAACCCTGCATATACCAACACAAACTCTAACCCTAATTTTCTCAACTCTGCTCCTGCAACTCCAAACTACTACAATCCTTACTCACAAATCTCTTATCAACCAAATCAGTTCACCAATCAGCCTAAATCCAACACATATCAACCTCATCAATCACAATTTAACTCTTCTCAACCTTGGAACTTATCTAATCCATCTGCAGGAAGTTTCAACTGGAACAATCACACACCCAATGCTGTATCATCTTACAATACACCATCTGCCAACTATGCCACTGCTAACTCCTCTATTCTTGGTCCTGCTCCATCAAACCAACAGTGGTTTCCTGATTCAGGTGCAACCCATCATGTCACAGCAGATCCAATGAACTTTCAGCATAGTGAACCATTTGCAACATCTGACAAACTCTTCATGGGTAATGGACAAGGTCTGGACATACAGTCTATAGGTTTCTCATCTTTTCCTTCTCCATATCAATCCTCACACATGCTTCTTTTACAAAACATTCTTCATGTTCCTTCTATAACTAAAAATCTGTTAAGTGTTAGTCAGTTTGCTAGGGATAATAATGTTTTCTTTGAGTTTCATCCTCATGAGTGTTATGTCAAATCCCAGGTTTCTAAACAGGTATTATTACATGGAGTTCTTGGTGAAGATGGTTTTACCAGTTTCCATCTCTCCCTCTTGGTTCACCATCCAATGCTGGAGTTAATCAATCTACTTCAGTTGTCTCTAGCAATAAATCTTTGTACCCCCTCTCCCTTATATCTACATATAATAAGTCTCAAGATTGTAATAAGTCTCTTGTCTGTACTCCATCAGTTTCTTGTAACTTGTGGCATCTAAGACTTGGACACCCTCATTATGAGGCACTTAAGTCCATTCTTCAATATTGTAAAATTTCTTCAAGTAATAAAAATGATATTCAGTTTTGTTCTGCTTGTTGTCTTGGAAAGGCACATAGGTTACCTTCATATTCATCCTCTACTATATTTCATAAACCATTTGAATTAATCTTCACAGATCTCTGGGGCCCTGCTCCTGTGATATCCTTTGATGGGTACTCTTATTACATAGCATTTATAGATGCTTTCACTAGATATACTTGGATCTATTTTCTGAAAAAGAAATCAGATGCTATCATTGCCTTTCAGAACTTCTATCAGTTTGTTCTAAATCAATTTTCAGTATCTATTAAATCCATTCAGTCTGATTGGGGAGGAGAGTTTAGGTCCTTCACAAACTTTCTTAATGAAAAAGGAATCACACACAGAATCATTTGTCCTCACACACATCACCAAAATGGTGTTGTGGAAAGAAAACACAGAACTATTGTGGAAAAAGGTCGGTCACTACTAGCCCATTCTTCCCTACCTTTTAAATTTTGGGACACTGCCTTTGCAACCTCTGTGCATCTCATCAACAGAACCCCATCAAAGTCCATTTCAAATTCCATCCCTTATTTCAAACTCTATGGATCCATACCAGATTACAACTTTCTCAGAGTTTTTGGTTGTGCTTGCTACCCCTTTATCAGACAATATAACAAGCACAAAATGGATTTTCATTCAGAGGAGTGCATTTTTATAGGGTATTCCTCTCAACACAAAGGCTACAAGTGTCTTTCTAAATCTGGCAAAATTTACATTTCCAGAGATGTGACATTCAATGAATCACAATTCCCATATTCCACATTATTTCCAACTAAAAATTCTACACCTCAAGTCACCCAAACACCAACTTCTGCCACCTTATCTGTCTTATCCTTACATCCTCTACATACTCCTAATTCATCCTCATCTTTTCATTCCCAATCAAATAGCTCCCATAACTCATCAAGTCAGTCTGATTCTCAATCAAACAGTTCTCATAATTCATCAAATCAGTCTCATTTCTCTCACAGTTCTTCAAATCAAACTCTTCCTCCTCATTCACAGTCCAATCCTTCAAACAACTCTCAGTCCACTTCTTCCAATCACACACAACCTAATTCATCACATCCATCATCTAATTCACTTTCTTCCTCTTCTTCTGAGTCTTCTTCTCCTCCCTTAGTTAACAACCATCCCATGCAAACTAGAGCCAAATCAGGAATTGTGAAACCCAGACTAAATCCAACTTTGTTACTTGCCCATGTTGAGCCTAAGTCAGTTAAGCAGGCTCTTTCATCTCCTCAATGGTTCAGTGCTATGCAGTCTGAGTATAATGCTTTAATAGCAAATAAAACCTGGTCATTGGTTCCACTCCCACCTGACAAACGTGCTATTGGCTGTAAGTGGGTTTTCAGGGTAAAAGAGAATTCTGATGGCTCCCTCAATAAATACAAAGCAAGATTGGTGGCAAAAGGCTTCCACCAAAGGTTTGGTTTTGATTTCAGTGAGACTTTCTCACCTGTTGTTAAACCTGTTACCATAAGAATTCTCCTTACTCTAGCTGTTTCTCATAATTGGCCTATTCAGCAACTAGACATTAATAATGCTTTTCTTAATGGACATATTGATGAAGAGGTCTACATGGTTCAGCCACCTGGGTTTCAATCTGAAGATCCTTCTCTTGTCTGCAAGCTTCACAAATCCCTATATGGACTGAAACAGGCACCAAGGGCATGGTTCCATAAACTCACATATGTTCTTTATGGTGCAGGATTCAAACAAAGTACTTGTGATCCTTCTCTACTCCTTTTTCTGACTTCTGACATACAAATCTACATCCTGATCTATGTAGATGATATCTTAGTCATTGGAAATGATTCCATAGCTGTTCAAAACCTCATCAATAAGCTTCATACATCTTTCTCACTCAAGCATCTAGGAGAAATTGACTTCTTTCTTGGCATTGAAGTCAAAAAGACAAAAAATGGTAGCATTCACCTATCTCAAACCAAATATATCACGGATTTACTTCACAAGGTTGGCATGCTTGACTCAAAGGGAGTCAAAACACCCATGGTGAGTAGCTGTAAACTCACCAATACAAGAAGTGATATCTTACCTGATCCATCTACATACAGATCTATAGTTGGTACTTTACAATATGCTACCCTTACCAGACCAGAACTTAGTTATGCTGTGAACAAAGTGTGTCAATTTATGGCCAATCCTCTGCAGGATCACTGGAAAGCTGTCAAGCATATTCTTAGATATCTGTCTGGTACTATCACACATGGTCTCATTATCAAACCTCTTCCTTTGAAAACCGTGTCTATGCCTATTTCAGCATTCTGTGATGCTGATTGGGCTTCAGATCCTGTTGACAGAAAATCCACATCAGGTTCTTGTATATTCCTTGGTTCAAATATCATCTCTTGGTGGTCAAAGAAACAAGTAAAAGTTGCTAGATCCTCAGCAGAAGCTGAATATAGAAGCTTAGCAGACACTTCATCTGAACTCCTATGGATTCAATACTTGCTCAAGGAACTCAAAATACCATTCACTACTCCAAAAGTGTATTGTGATAATCTCAGCACTGTACAGCTAGCACACAATCCTGTTCTACACACGCGGATCAAACACATGGAGATTGATCTCTTCTTTGTCAGGGAAAAGGTTCAGTCTAAGCAGATTGAAGTCTTCCATATCCCAGCCTCTCAACAACTTGCTGATGTTCTGACAAAGCCATTACCAGCCTCAATGTTTCTTGATTTCAAAACAAAACTTAGTGTGATTGACTTTCCAAAGCAATCACCCTAATTTTGAGGGGGGAATGTTAGGAATAGTACACGAACTGTAATACTTCTCTTTGTATTGAGTTTGTTAGTATCTGTTAGTGCTAATACAGTTAGTTAGATATCTGTTAAGCTCTAGTACTATAAATACTTGTAATCGGTTCATGAATAATAAGATTGGTTCATTTCTTCCTAAATCCTTCTTACTTTTCTAATAACCACCCCAAACTTGCATATGTAATTTAAATACCCCAAACTTTAAATAAAAAGTTATTTTTGCACCATTAATTTATGGGATTAAATGATTAATTGCAGAATTTAAAATAGAAAATTAAAAGTGTTGCAATTATATAGATCAAGGGTAACATTATTTATTTCCTAATGGAAGTTTAGAAAGTTATTTGTGTCATCATGAATTCTAAAATATTTTAAATTATGAAATTAACACCATAAAATTACATTTTTTAAAGAAATAATACTTGACTATGGTGCTAAAATTACTATTTATATAAAGTTTGGGGTGTTTATCTCACACCCCTTCAAAGTTCGGGGTATTTTAATTATTTTTCCCTTTAAGAAACATGGGAATGAGAAGGTCATTTTGAGAAATACATGAGGGTTACCTGATGAAACTTCCTGTTTTAAAAACTATATTCTTAAAAAATCCAAGGACATCATCATATTTAGTTATCACCCCCATATTTCGAATTTACTGTATCATTCACCCCCATATTTCGAATTTACTGTATCATTCACCTCACAGTTCTAGGTACTAACCTCACCACCACAACTAACTCTTCAGCTTTCTTCTCTCACAACTAAGGGAGCTAAGTGCCACCTTAGCCCTAAGTAAGGTTTTGGTGATGAAACTTCCCGTTTTAAAAACTATACTTTAAAAAATTAAATATTCCAAGCACATCATCATATTTAGTTATTACCCATATTTCGAATTCACGGTATTGTTCATCACAACTAACTCTTCAGCTTTCTTCTCTCACAACTAAGGGAGCCTAAGTACCACCTTAGCCCTAAGTAAGGTTTTGGTGATGGACAAAGCTCACACATACGAAGTATATTCATGTATATAACAACAACAACAACAACATACATGTATTTGGATTTTGCAATATACAAATATTGGACAACACTTCAAATAAATCCATGAATTACAATTAATAAGAGAAACACCTAAATAGAATTGATTAGATATATTCACTTCGCGAGGATGAACCTCGCTATCTATCATCTATATCTATGTCAAATTCTCAACACATTTCACATTTTCCTATATCCTATTGGAGATTTAGTGAGGCGATATACATGCATAAAGCACTCTAGATGCATAAAAAGGGTTTTAATCAGAAATGAGAAGAAAGCTAAAGGAAGATAAACTTACTTTGAAATCATCTATTAAAGCAAAATCTGGAAAGAAGGGCAAGATGTCTTCAATCTTCAATAATCCATCAGTTTCCTTGAGAAATGCAATCGCCTTCCGGATATTCTCTCTCTTTGTGCCCTTTTCCTGCTCAATGACATGCTTGGCAATTACAAGCCAAAGTTTTTTTCTCAAGTCTTCATCATCCTCAACTTTGTCTGCTTCAGCCATAGCAAGGTCTGGATCTACCTATTATTACATTGCACAGGATGAACAAGTGTGGTTGATAAGAAGGCAGAAGTAAAACATCAGAATTCATTATTCACGATCAAACCTTGAGCAAAAAATCTATTCACTCATTCGCTGCTGAAAACAACTAAGCACCACCTTGACCTTAATTACTACTCAAGCTTATATTAAAGTCCATGATAATATATCTCAAAAGAGCATTCCAGTAACTTGTTTTGCGAAATTCAAGAATAAAAACTGAAACATGGATTGGTTGCCAATGAAATGATATATGAAGGATAGGGTTTCCGAACTACACCGTGAATAATTAAGTTGACTGTAGCAGTAACATCAATCTAAGCTATACATCTGGGAAGGGGCAATGAGACTGAGAGTAAGTATGAAATGTTCAATTAAAAGTAGGCTAAAGGGTCAAATAGGCCCCTGAACTGACTTAAAGTGTTCAATTAGCCCCTTATATAGGAGGTTCTGCCCGGCCGTCGCCAATTGGGGCAGTTCCCGGTGAAATTTTTTGATGAAAGGTTTTGAGCATCTTCTTCGTTAAGTCTAGTTTACCCTTACCAAATTTCAGCTAAAAATTCAATCAGGAAGACAGTCAAATGATTTTTTGAAGATAACTGTGAAGTTAAACGACGCAGTACATTTCGGAAAATCATTTGACTGCCTTTCCGGTTGAATTTTTAGCTGAAATTTGGTATGGGTAAACTAGACTTAATGAAGAAGATGCTCAAAAAATTTCATCAAAAAATTCCACCGGGAACAGCCCCAATTAGCGACGGCCGGGCAGAACCTCCTATATAAGGGGCTAATTGAACACTTTAAGTCAGTTCAAGGACCTATTTGACCCTTAAGCCTTAAAAGTATCAGTCTATACCTGTAAAGCAAGGGAAACTGCTTCTTCATGCATAGACATCATGCTGTAGATGTGTACACAAGCACGCATCCGCTTTTCCTTGAGGCAGAGACGCAAGGCATATTTGGGTTCATAATAAAATTCAGGGCCACCTGGCCGACCCCTCCCAAACTTGCATTGCAGGAAACGCAGGAGAGCACTCTCGTCCTCCTAAAAAGAAAAAAAGGAAATAGTCGCTGCTAGTGTAGAATCATTATCTTAGTCTTTTAAACAAATGTAAGCTAACACAGACCAGATTGAGTTGCATAAAAGGTAAGTTAGGAGTTCCACAACAGTAAGAAGTCAATGTCTTTAAGGCTTTATATCACAACAGTAGAGTTTGGAGGAAAATCATGTATACTCATGCCATCTGATTACTGGTTAAAAAGCCATCTAGGGTATGTTTAAAAAATGCACATGCTAGTGAACTGTTCATATGGCAACTTCAAATTGGAACCAAATGAATCAGTCAATAGGGCTGCAGAGAGCAAAGTCAGATGAAAAAGACAAAAAAACAAAGGTGAAACTAAGCCAAATGTAATTTTCTGTGGGGCAATACTTTGGGAAATGAATAAAAACTCACTCTGTAATTGGACTAACTGACTAAGTTTATCTTGCAATAATACCGCAAAGGTAAAATAAGGCAGAACCTTAGTACGTGAACCCTTGTTAGCAACGTTTGTCAATTAAAACAGATTATTGCACAGGGCAATTCTATATGTGTTAAAATTGTCTCTATTTGTTAAAAAGTTGAATTATACATTTATACTGAAATTTTGAGAGAAATTTTGAGAGAAATTGGTATTTAAAAAGCTCTCACCCAACTAACCTTTTTCGCATATAGTGAAAGTAGCAGGTTATGCACACCAGGATCCTCATTCTGTAGTCGGTGCACACAATACTCCAGATATTTTATAACTTCGTGTGTTTCGTTCCTTCAAATAGTATGCAGTAGAGAGTTGATGAGCCACAGATCATCAAATGTCATATTGAAATTCAAGATGCACCATTTAATGATAACAGTATACCACCCGGAGAAAATGAGTAGATACAACAACTATGAAGTACTCCCTCCGTCCCATTCAAAGGTTACCGCTACCCTTTTTTGGACGTGCCACTTAAAGGTTCCCATTTTTTATTTTAGGAAACAATTAACACTATTAAATAACAATTTAATTGTCAAATATTAAAAATAATATATTTATAACATCACAGTTATCATCAATACAACACCAACACTCAAGCCTTATTCCCAAAAGATTATTGTCTAAATAATCATGCCATTTTGCCATGAGAATCTTTGAACGGGACGAAGGTAGTATATCAGAAACAATATACAATAAAAGAAAAGTATGAAACCGAATGCACTATGATAAGAGATTAATTAAAGCATAATGTGAGAAGACATCTAGCATTACTATATGAAATAAAAAAGATTAACAAGTTTGTAAACAACAAAAACAAGCACGCTCATCTCCGATGCTACTCAATATTTCCTATCTATTTAACCTCCCACTTACTGAGTGCACTTGAATTAAGATGTACACTAAGGAGATATACACATCTCCGTCGCACTAACACGTCCAAATTCCTACCACTATGCCCAAACTGTAACTTGTAAGCATGCGAGTCAAGAATCCATGAAAATAAAGGATCAGTGTTTGAAATAAGGTGAGGCTTGGATAACATGGGTACGACACTACCACGTTTCGTGTTCTTATCTGAGAAACGGGATGATGGGACTTGAGCGTGGCTAGGATATGATACATCCTTAACAAAGCTCACAGAAGGACCCTTGGAAACTTGACCTTCTGAATGTCTTACACTCTTGTGTGATTAAACCCTATACTTACCACTAACAAAGTCTTAATGTGCAAGTAAATAGAACCCTAATCTATCACTCCTTGAAATAATACTCTGGTTTCAACATGGCACACTTACTAAGAAGTATAGTTGAAAATAAAAGTGTGGTTAAAATTTAGGTTGAGATGCCAACCACACATTTCTTTAATAAAAAGGAAGATGGTTTTGGGATGGACCGATGGACCGAAAAGGAAAACAACAACAATATTATTTCAGGACAGAGGGAATACAATATTACTATAAGAAATACGGAGTATCTACTAAAGATGAAACTGTACATATTACATTGCATGTGGTTCACTTGAATAACGCATCATGGCAGGAATGAGTTTTCTTGGATTCAAATTTTTTGTTGTCATCCATGACTCAATAGTTTCATATGCATCAAGCATGATAAGGTCAGGTGCAAACTTGTACTGCAAAGAGAAGAAGAAGCATTTACTTTCCAACATCATAGTTCTGAGGTAATGATATCAGGAGTTCATCTTAAATCATACGAATTACAACACATGGTAAAATGCATAAAGATGGTTCAATGTTAGGGGGGGGGGAGTTGACAGCAAATGCAAATACTATTACCTGAAGATCTATAGAGACATTAGGCTTCTGAAGGACTTGTAGGGCTTTCTTTGCTTCTCCTTGCTATATATGAAAAGAAGCACAAATAAGATTTGAGCATGCGACTAACAACCAGAAGTCAGACCCAGAGAAACCAAACCATAGTTGAACAAAAAAGTACAAGCATAGATGAAGTATGGGCTCAGGGCTCCTTCCCTAACTAAATCAAATCAGACACGAAGTCAACAGCATGGATGACACACAACATTAAGTAACTTTTCTTGAACCAAACATTAACATGATGTCATCAGAAGAACCAAAACGGATCATTTGAAGGATCACTATGAACTATCGACTAATTTTACCTTCGAAATGTTGTAGCCACCAAACACTATAATGTGAACAATAACTAGAATCTATCATCAATTGCACAAGGAACTATGAATACATAAATAAAGGAGGTGAGGGGACAAGATTAAATTAGTGAATATAGAGAATATGTATACACATCTGGAAAAAGAACAATAGTTCATAAATCTAAGCTTGGTTTCCACATCTAAAGATTCTAGTACTTTACAAACATCATGGTGCAAGGGTTGGATAGATCATAGGATAGAAAGAAACAGCCAAACCTATGCAAAAACATGTCCAGTTGGGAATCAGCATTTTAGAAGCCAAAGAACCAAAAAGATACCTGAATATAATGGTGAATGACAATCTCATATTGCTCCTTCAGGCCAGCAAAAAAGACCAATTCATCTACTCTAGCATAGCTGCAAAGGAATATAGTTTTTTTGTTTGAAATGTACACTGTGAGCAGGTAATAAATCTCTGATGATATTTCTAAAAACAAACTTACAACTTACGTAGTATATGATACTCATACTCTCACCAGAACCATTTTATGTCTTGTTTGGTTAATGAGTCTTAACTTATAATTTTATTGATTGGTTTAGAACTAGTGATATAGTTCTTGAGTTAGATGAGAGTATGGCTTTGGAGAGAGCAAAGAGGAGTGAGAGTATGCATGTAGTGGATTTATCTGTTTTTGTTTGTCTCCTTTTTCTCTATTCATCTTCATTATGGCTCATCCAGAAACAATCTCTCTGTGCTTTTCACAAGGGGTAAGACTGCGTACATCTGACCCCCCCTTACCCCACCGTTGGAGGGAGCCTTTTCGGCACTGGAATGATGATGATGATGATGATGATGATGATCTTCTAACTTTGAAATCATATGTCGATTCATGTTAGCCGATCCCAAACTCTTTGGGCTTAAAGTTTGGGTGTTGTTCTTGGTTTGGTATTGGACTATTAGTGAATATAACTAGGACTATTAGTGAATATAACTAGTGTGTTTGTGTGTATTCAAAAGCCACACGGAAAAGTTTATAAAACATAAAGATTCCAAATTAAAGTAACCACATATGTTAAAAGAAAATTTGGAACAAAATAAGGTTGGTTTTACTAGACACCGTAAAATGAGATCTCGATTCCTGAGAAGCTGAGACATGAGATGGGAAAACTAGAAACTGTATTTTTGCGAAAAACATCTCTTATTACAAATAAATAAAAGTTGTTGGTGACGACTAGACGACTACATTATGCTACTTGCTTAGTAAAAAAGGGTTTCTTCTTCAAACACTTTTTTGCAACAAAAAAGAGTCATTTTAGATACAATGAAACTGATTGTTCATGTAGTTTGTTATTATAATGCAAGAGCCAAGAGTGTGGGTCAATTTCAATTTTTCTATTCATTTGACTAACTGAAAAATTTAAATTACTTAAAAGTTGCATTCGAAGAGGAGAAGTTGTCTAGAATACAACCGCCTCAATGATTTGGTATTCGTCAAGTACAATAGGGCTTTGAGGCGTCGTTGGGAAATGCGTGATTCTATAGATCCTATTTGCTTGGATTAAATAGACATGGCAAATGAATGATTGACCGGTGCAGTTGATGATGCAAATGAAGAGTTGGTCTTTGATGATGGAGATGATTTGACCTAGGGAGATGTTGCGAAGTTTTCTGGTGTACATGATACCCCGTATTCTCTTAGACGCAATTCTAAAGGGAAAAATAAAGCAGAAAGTTCCAAGTCTAAGGGAAAAGAGAAAGCCTTCACTCGTTGATGCAGATGAGGACGAAGATGAAGACGATGTTGGAGTCTATGATGATGACAGTGAGGACTTTGATACCTTACTTATGGACGAAGAAGAACAAGGCCAGTTTGATGACGAGGAGGATGAGACGATGGAATGAGGAAGATTCTAAGAACCATTTTTAATGAAACTATGACATTATGTGATGAATGTTTTGAAACTTTATGCTGCACTAGTATTATTTTGAATGACGTTTATGACTACTTATGCATTTATGACATAAGTATACATTATATATTATATTTTCTTTAACTTTTTTAAGCATTGCTTTTTGTGAGAAAGCTTCGCTTCGATTAGCGCTTTCGCTTTGAAGCAAAGCCCGGGGTCATCGCTTTTGGGCGCTTTTCGCTTTAAAAAAGTTTGAGTTAAACCAACAATTAATTTACATATAAAAAAGTAAATGACTTACGAAAGTTGTGCGTTACCAAAAATAAAAGGTTGTACCTTGGTCAAACATGATGCTTATAAAGTTATAATACATTTAGTCATTTAAACCACACAAAGTTGTGGAAGCTCTTAATTTCCACACTTGTGAAAAGATATTCAAAAATTACTTAGAGAGAATTATAATTGAAAATACACATAGTTTATTTAGGAAACCACCTATAAACAATAGAAATTAGGAAAACATTCCTCATAAGAAACAGCCTGCCACCAATAATATGGATAGATAGCTAGAGTTATTTTCTCACAAACCAAAGCAGCATTGTTTGAAAAGAGAAGATGCTTAAGGCATATGACAACAGAGATTGCATTTTTTTACCTTTCAAGTAACTTCAAGGTTGTCGCTTCGTCTAATACATCCTTGCAATCACTTAGAAATGCACGAAACTCCATAATTATAGATTCAAATTCTGAGTTGCGAGTCTCTGAAACACACTCATCTTCTAAAAGTAACCTATTGATCTGAGAGAGAGAGATGATGGAAATCATGACTCTGAATTTGAGTTATGGATCAATAATGACTCTGAATTTGAGTTATGGATCAATAATGACTCTGAATTTGAGTTATGAATTCCCAGAGTCAAAACTAGTATACTTTCTTGGGAATAAAAATACAATTGACTAGTATGAACAAAAGCCAGAGTCAAAACTAACATATGAAATTTCTTTCAAGGCATTCATATATCACCCTATTCAGAACCTGGTATTACTTTGAATCAACCAAGTAACAATTAACATGAAAGACAACATTTGACACATACTTTTAAGAAGTTTATGTCTATGCTTATATGCTATATCAAATTTTAAGCATAACGGGGAGAAAATAAAGAATGATTTATGTGGCTACGCGATAGTGGGGCAGCACCTTATCCAAATATAGTTCAGTAGCCCATGTAGAAATCATTGTAATTTGACACTTGTCATCTTTAGCAAGACTGTCAAGCTTACGCAAAAGAAAGGTTCTTAGAGCATCCTGCAAGCTTGAAAGTTGAATTTAAATTAATTTGGGTTGAATTATATATGACTTTCACTAATATAATGACTTGAATCAATTGATGACTAGTTTTAGAAAAATAAAAATTCAGCATCATCCTTGTAACTCAAATAAATAGTAGAATTACTTTTACCTGTTCACCCATGCTAATAAACTTCAGTGTTATCTCTTCAAATGATAACACATAAGTAATCTGCAATAAAAATTCTATTGCATCAGGATGTACTCGATTTCTAGAGAATAAACAGCTAGAATATGAACAAGTATCCGCATTATTGTTTATCTACTCCCTCCGTCCCAAATGATGATCCTGTATTTCCTTTTTGGGATGTCCCAAAATGATGGTCTTGTTTCCCTTTTTTGGTAAAGAACTAAAAGTGGATTACCATTTATACCCCTCCTTTTTATGAACAGTAAAAGTAAAAGGATGAACAGTACAATAAACTTTATTAATCTTTATGAATAAAGTAAGGTTCTTTAGTCTATCTACCACACTTTCTTAATCTATATGCCCAAAAGAAACAAGACCATCAAATTGGGACGGAGGGAGTACAAGATATGGTACCATTAAAATTCTATTAGTGCTATGGGGAGCAGGACAGCAGGAGATATCAATGAGAGCACAATAATTAGTACAAACGGATGACCAGGAAAATATTGTAGACTTGTAACACTGGAGAGTTAAAAAGTGAAAAAATACATACAAATTTCATGTACTGCTTTGCGTATAGAGATAGTTTTGTTATATTCTAAATGAAAACTTTACAGCTTCGATGTGTCGATCATGCATTAGATGTCATTACAGTGTGTTCTAGAAGCATACTCAAATTGGTACATCTAAAATCCTTTACAACAATATTAAGTACCCCACATCAAAGGGATGCATGTAAATTCAACATGCTAAGCTTCTTGTTTTTTTTGTACAATAATTACTATTTAGTAAAATATTAATTTCCATCATTTGCAGTAGAGCCAAAGACTCACTATTTTTTGGCTTGGGAATATGATGGAATAAAGCAAAATGGCTCACTAAATTGTGTGTGCTTCTTTATTATGAAGAAGTAGTCAGTCTCTCTGTGTTTTAGACTTTTAGTAGAGGAGTAAGGGTGCGTAAATCCGACCCCCCCACCATAGATGGGAGCCCTTGCGGCACTCGGGTAATAATGATGATGAATTAGTAAATTATTACTACCTCCGTCCCACTAAGATTGGGACAAGAGAAGGTGGCACGATTATTAAGAAAAGTGGGTTTGTGTGGTTGATATTAAATTGTTAAAGTAAGAATAAAGTAAGAATGATTTAGAGCCACACAAACTTTACCAAATTTGGTATGAGACAATCTTAGTGGGACTTCCCGAAAAGGTAAAATGGGACAATCTTAGCGGGACGGAGGGAATAATATATATTAGAATAGAATTAAGGGTTTTATAAGTCAGAAATATGAAGGCCAATATGAACGTAAAAAAATATTAAAATGAGAACTTTCCCTCCACTACATGATCGAATGAAATTTTTATTTAAGAAGTAAGCAATTAATTTAAGTTAGTTTTTCTAAAGAACCAAGTATAGGAGAGCTCTAGTAGGAGCTAGTTAGTATCACCATTTATACTATGTAAAACGCTTATATATATATATATATATATATATATATATATATACACACATATAAACTAGCAGTTTTACGCGCAATGCGCGAGAGTCAATGCCCAACAATACAATTTGAACATTAATAGTAATTTATACTAGAACAACAACATTTCACGTTAAAATTTCACGTTTAACATAACTTGAAGCATGCATGTGTCACCGATCAAAATAACTTGATATTCTAATAAATTGTTCACGTAATGGTGTATGTAATTGCTAGATATAATAAACATCTTTCATTGACATTGGTCTTTGAACTACTACCTCCGCCCCGGTGGACTTTGCCAAGTGCAAAGTAGGTGAGAAATAAGAATGGTAAAAACTGTGTGGTTGAGATTTGTGCAGAGGAGAGAGAAATGTGTAGAACCACAAATTAGTTGCTTTAATAGGAAAGTGGCAGAGTTTTTTGGGACAACCAAAAAGGGAAAGTTGGCAAAGTCCAATGGGACGGAGGGAGTATTTAATTAAGATTGTTGATGAATCAATTTTTACCATAAGTCTATAGGAAAATAGATAAATTGAGTATAACAAGAAAACAGAATGAAGGTGAGGCTTCATTTAATAGGAGGTATAATTTGTACATGTCGCTTCTTCTAAATCTTCTAATAAAGATTTTACCGAACACTACTTCACTAAGTACACACAAAGAATTGAATTGTTGAAGATTACAAATTTAGGTTTTTGATTATTTTTTTTTGGAGTTTCACTTTTATTGTATTTCAATAGATTTTTTGTGTGTTTTTGTCAATGAACATGGTCATCACTATTTGGAAACGAACTTGGGACATATGTAGTAACAAAACATATTTTAACATAATCTCTTCATAAATCAGTAGCTTCGGGCAATTCAATTTTTAGAGACAAAGACTCAACGACAACAGTTCATTTTGGATTTTAAAAGATACTCCCTCCGATCTTAAATAAACTTCACACTTTCCTTTTTGGGTAGGTCCAATATTAACTTCACACTTCTATTTTTGGAAACTTTAACTATAAACTTACACTTATACCCTTACTTTATTACCTACTTTACAGTCACTTTCTCTCTTCCACTACACTTTATCTACTTTTTGAAGAGGTATGGTGGGAAAGTCAAAACAAAAAATTCCACTTTTTTAAAAAACCGTAAAGTCAAACTATGAAGATTATTTAGAACCAGAGGGAGTAAATCCTTAATCTTCTAAATTAATAAAGGGTGTTTATTTGTAATTAAAAAAAACCCTATAGAAGTTAGAGCCAAGAATATCCAAGTACGAAGTATAAAATATTTTCATCATTTAGTATATTTTATTAGTTTAGACATTTCAAGCATAACTATAAGAGATTAACCACTTTAAAGAATCTAAATCATTTCAAGAGTACTCTTTATTTATCATAAAAAAGAGTACTCTTTATTTTCAATGTGAATAGGAATTTATAAAGGTCTAAATATACTTTTAGTCCATGCAAATATGACATACTTTGTTTCCCTGTAAAGTATTTTCTTAGTTTTAATTTCCATTCCTGAAATATATGTTGGTTTTTTTAGTTAATGACTAATGACAACAACCTCTATTTGACAACGAAACAACCCTGACTAATAGGTTTCCTCTAATTCTTTGTTATGTCATTCAAAAAGTATCTAATTTCCTTTTTAGAAGGATTTTAATACATATTTTAAAAAAGTGAATAGTTAGTTATATATCGTTTTAACTCTCATATTAGGCTCAAAAAAATATGAAATGATAATATAAATGTTTCTAGTATATTTATTATGCAACTGAAAATAATAAAAATTCTAAGTAGAGTTGTTTAGGAGTTTGAGGTGAAATAAAACCAAAATAGTACATATTACAGGGATGCAAAACAAAGAAAATATTTTACAGGGATCTAAAACAAAGTGGGTCATATTTGCATGGACTAAAATAATACTCGTATTTAAATCATTTATAAATGATGCTTCTTCATAAATGCACAAATTGCAATCCGTATATATAGACTATAAAGTGGGGGCCTTTATTTATACTTAGTTAAAAAGTGTGAATGTATTTGGGAGTAATGACAGCCGTTAATAACTTCAAACAATGTTAGGGCTTTTTTGTCCTATCAATATAACGGTATCACATTTTAATAATAATGTACAAGCCTTCATGCACTCACAATTATAATGTTTTTAGATATATATATATATATATATATATATATATATATATATATATATATATATATATATATATATATATATATATATATAAAAGAGATCAAATACAAACCATGCTTAAAATACTGACCTACAAACTCAATAATATGCAACACTTTATATATATATGTGTGTGTGTGTGTGTGTGTGTATACACACATATAATGTATTAAAGCTTACTCCAAAAGTGAAACCAAAAACGCAAAAAAAAATTACTTTGGCATAAAAGTATGCTGCTCGCATGAAGTCCTTTGCAGAAAAAGCAGATTCGGCCTGCATACAAACGTTAATTCTATGAAGATATTATTATTAAATGCAGAGACGAGATATAAAATTTTCCATCATTTGCAATTTGCAATGGAGCCAAAGACTCATTATTTTTTTGCTTGGGAATATGATGGAACAAAGCAAAATGGCTCACTAAATTGTTTGTGCTTCTTCTTTGTTATGAAGCAGCAGTCAGTCTATGCAATTTTTTATGTGATTTTCACTATGGGTCGTCTGGAAACAGTCTCTCTATGCTTTAGTACAGAGATATGACTGTGTACATCCATCCGACCACCCCTACCCTACCATAGGTGGGAGCCTTTGCAGCACTGGGGTAATGGTAACGACGAGATGTAAATTCCGTACTTTATATTTTGTGTGTCATCCATTGTTGCATAAGTTCTAACATCAAAAGTGAAGACGAAATTATCCTACAAACTAAAAAAAGACCAAAAAACTGGGAGAAGAAAATAATATTTATAATATCATCAACCAGAACCTGCACAAGATAGACTTGATCCCTCTGCAGGTGATCATTACAAATAGCCAATGCTGCAGCATATTCCTTCAAGTCCATGTATACCTTCCACATATCCCGGGCTTCATCATTAACAGACACCTAACTAACCATATCATAGTTATTAACAATTCAATCCAAATAGACTACATCAAGTGCATCAATCATTGATACTTGATATTTAATAGCAATAAGATGACACACCTGGAAGATAGAGTTTTGGTCATAAGCATAAAACAGCCCAGCAGATGCATCACTGCATAATCCACTAATTCCTGTTGAAACTGCATCACGTGTTTGATCAAAAAAAAGTTCTTCTACGATCTGCTTACTAATCCGGTTCACTATCTGCCAATAAAAAATCAAGACATATATATAATCAATACAATAAGAATTGTGAAATCAATTTATTAAATTAGATGCTCAAGAGTTTTCTTTTAAACAAGTACTTAATGAGAGAAACACTTCCAGTGATGCTCCTTGAAAACTACACCGAATGCACATCTAGTTAGCAAAATCTAAATTCAGAAACATGATTTTAGGTTAACATAGGATGATAGAACAGACTAGTGGCTCATGGGGAACCAAAAACATCTCTAGAATACAAAAAAGGATTGTTAATACCTCGATGCCCATGTTATTCACAAAACAAAAACAGTAAATATATTTAGACCATCAACAAATGGAGTAGGAAAAAGAATAATATAGTAGTGAGATTCAAAAGTATGGTAAGGAAACATAAGGAGAAAATATCATTGTTATCTCCGGTTAAATGGAAAAACAACATAAAATTATGACAAAAATGCCATAGTGCCAATACACATGCATATACTCATAAACATATTCTTAAAGGCAAAATTGAGGCAACCACCACTCTTTGAAGAAGAGCCTCAAGACGTACTTTTTGAGGCTTAGCCTCACAAAATCCCTAATAAATAGGAATCCAAGACGATAGTATTCAAAAAGTTTAGGTTATAACTTTAAACCCATAAAATGAATGACACAATTACAGCCTGTGAAAGATATAGAATATACTTTAGAATATTAGAATATACTCCAAAATATTCTAGGAATATACTTTAGGATATTATTATTGTATAGAATCTTATATAGGAATATTCTATTTGTAATGTATATTTATAGGGACTTTCACAACTAATGAAATACACAGAAAATCCTTCTCTCCATCTTTATTATCATTCTAGTTTATATTTCAACATGGTATCAGAGCCTTCCATTTCATGTAGTTTTTCCTTTGAGATTTCAGTTTAGTTTGTCATTATCTCTATCTCAATTTAGTTTTCAAACTGTGTTCTTTCTCCAAGAAATTGATTTCAGTCCACAGTCTTCAAGAACCTCTGATCTCAGACTTTTCCCAGAACCTTTTTCCGGAACTTCTTCCCAGAACATCTTCCCAGAACCTCCCATCTCAGAAGCCCGCAACCCTTTTCACACTCTGGTTCACCTCCCTCATCCTCTGGTTCGGCTGCCGCCGTCGACCAACCACCCGGAGTCCGCACGCCCAAATCACCTCGCGTGAGTTACACGCGCCGTCGGAAGCTCCCGCAGCCAACACACGCGCCGGCGCGTAACGCCGTGTTTCTGGCCGGAGATTCTAACAGCGAGCATCGTCAGATTCGCCGGAGTGTCCTGTAGCAATATCCAGGTATAGATAGAAGGAAGGCTGGGTCTTGGCTGGCATCGGATATCTGCGTTATCTGCGGACATACGCACGCTCATATCTGCGGACATACGCACTGTTTCGTCTGGTTGTTATTCAGGGGGGATTTGCATAGGAATTCTGTCTGGAGTAGCAATCAACGGCCCAAGCAAATTGGATATTCTATTCTCCAAAGTTTAGTCCCCAAACGGGAAAAGCTTATGTAAGTTTTCCACCTTTATCTCAATTTTGAATTTAAAAAAGAAAAGAAAAAAAAAAGAAAAAAAAGGGTGATAAAAAAAAAATGTTCTGTCCTCGTGAATTTGGAAAACAGTTAATATGCAACTACTCTAAGAAATCTGGGCACTTGATCAAAGAATGTAGAAAATTGGCATTCAAAAATCAAGGAAATTCGACTGCTCATGTTGCTTCCGCTACCAGCTCATCTGATGGATCCATTGCTATTTCTTCAGGCGAGTATGCTAAATTTATTTGCTACCAAGAATCTCTAAAGCATTCCTCTATCCCTATCTCGGTAGTCGCAAATTCAGGTATTTCAAACACATGTCTTGTTTCATCATCCTCGAAATGGGTCATTGACTCAGGTGTCACAGATCATATGACTGGTAATCCTAGTCTATTCTCATCATTTCACTCGCATTTACCTACTTCCAGTGTCACTTTAGCTGACGGGTCTACCTCACCCGTTCTTGGATCCGGTACTGTTGTACCAACTTCTACATTACCATTATCGTCTGTTTTGAGTCTTCCTAATTTTTCGTTTAATCTGCTTTCCATCAGTAAAATCACACGTACTCTTAATTGTTCTGTAACATTTTTTCCGGAATATTGTGTGTTTCAGGATCTGTTAATGAAGCAGACTATTGGTAAAGGACATAAGTCGGCTGGTCTTTATATTTTGGATACATCAATCACAAAAGGTATCTCTTGTCTTGGGGTTGGAAATCTATTAGAAGCTCATTACCGATTAGGACATCCATCTATCCCACTAATGAAGCAAATATATCCTCAGTTTAATAAGGTGTCATCTATACAATGTGAGTCGTGTGAGTTTGCAAAACATCATCGCACTAGTTTAAGTCCCCGACTTAATAAACGAGCAAATGCTCCGTTTGATCTTGTCCATACCGATGTTTGGGGGGCATGTCCAGTTGTGTCCAAATCTGGTTTCAAATATTTTGTTACTTTTGTTGACGATTATTCTCGTATGACATGGTTGTACTTCATGAAGCGTCGATCTGAGTTATTTACTCATTTCTCTGCATTTTGTGCTGAAATTAAAACTCAATTTAATGTTCCTGTTCGTGTGTTAAGGGGAGACAATGCCCTGCTCCATTTAAATCTTTTATGCTTCAACATGGCATTTTTCATCAAACTTCATGCGTAGACACACCTCCTCAAAATGGAGTTGCTGAAAGAAAGAATCGACATCTGTTAGAAACTGCAAAGGCTCTTCTATTCCAAATGAATGTGCCTAAACAGTTTTGGGCTGATGCGGTGCCTACTTCATGTTTTTTGATCAATCGTATGCCATCTTCTGTTTTGGATGGTAAAGCTCCTTATCAATGCCTTTTTCCAAATAAAGAACTTTTTCCCATTCCACCTAAAATATTTGGTTGCACTTGTTTTGTTAGAGATGTTAACCCTCATCGCACGAAGTTGGATCCCAAATCATTGAAATGTATTTTCTTAGGTTATTCTCGAGTTCAAAAGGGGTATAGATGTTTTTGTCCAAGTACAGGTCGATACCTTATTTCTATTGATGTCTCATTTCATGAAAATACACCTTAATCATCATCCAAGACAGATATTCATGAGGACAATGATGACATACTCATTTACACAGTTACTATACCTGAGACCACACCTTCAGTAACTATACCGAATGTTACTGTTCCTGACCCTAGACCTCCAGTACACTTGGTTTACACCCGTCGACACAAAGCACCAGATCACTCTCCACCTGTGACACCTGTGATTACTCATCCTGATACTGATCTGACTTCGATCTCATGTCCTGAACCAGTACCTGCATCTTCAGATCTTGTCTCTACATCAGATCTTGACCTCCCGATAGCACTACGTAAAGGTACACGGTCTTGTACTCATCATATTTCTTCATTTGTGTCATATAGTCGGTTATCCTCTGCCTCGTGTTCTTTTATTGTTTCCATTTATTCTATTTTTGTTCCCAAATCTGTCAAAGAAGCTTTGTCTCATCCTGAATGCCGTCATGCCATGGTAGAGGAAATGAATGCTTTGGATCTTAATGGTACTTGGGATTTGGTAGACTTGCCTACAGGGAAGAAGTCTATTGGATGTAAGTGGGTCTTTGCTGTTAAGGTTAACCCAGATGGATCTGTTGCTCGATTGAAAGCTCGATTAGTTGCGAAGGGTTATGCTCAAACCTATGGTGTTGACTATTCTGACACTTTTTCTCCTGTTGCTAAATTAACATCTGTCAGGTTACTTATTTCACTCGCCGCAACTCATGATTGGCAGTTACATCAGTTGGACATTAAAAATGCATTCTTGCATGGTGACCTTCAAGAGGAAGTTTATATTGAGCAACCTCCGGGATTTGTTGCTCAGGGGGAGTATGGGAAAGTTTGTCGACTTCGCAAATCTCTTTATGGTTTGAAACAGAGTCCTCGTGCATGGTTTGGGAAATTCAGTCAATCTATTGAACGGTTTGGAATGATAAAAGGTCAATCAGATCACTCTGTCTTTTACAGAAGAACGAAAGCAGGTATCACATTGCTTGTGGTGTATGTCAATGATATTGTGATTACAGGAAGTGATACTGCAGGTATTTTGGCCCTTAAGAATTTTCTTCATAGCCAATTCCAAACAAAAGACCTAGGCTCGTTGAAATACTTTCTGGGTATTGAGGTAACACGGAGTAAGAAAGGTATATTTCTATCTCAGCGTAAATATGTACTTGATTTACTAGCTGAAACAGGAAAAATGGGAGCAAAGCCAAGCACGACTCCCATGGTTCCCAATGTGCAACTCACTCAAGAAGGCATACCATTCGAAGAACCAGAAAGGTACAGAAGATTGGTTGGAAAGCTTAATTATCTTGCAGTCACCCGTCCAGACATTGCTTACTCTGTGAGCGTTGTGAGTCAATATATGTCATCTCCGATCATTGATCATTGGGCTGCTGTAGAACATATATTATGTTACTTGAAAGGAGCACCAGGACGCGGGATTGTCTATCAAAATCATGATCACTTGAGAATAGAATGTTTTGCAGATGTTGACTGGGCCGGATCTAAAGATGATCGAAGATCTACCTCGGGCTATTGTGTCTTTATTGGAGGGAACCTAGTATCATGGAAGAGTAAGAAACAGAGTGTGGTTTCTCGTTCGAGTGCTGAATCAAAATATCGAGCTATGGCGCAATCTGCATGTGAGATCATGTGGATAGGCCATTTATTGAGTGAAATCGGATTGAAGACACCAATGCCTGCTAAATTGTGGTGTGATAATCAAGCTGCCATACACATTGCCAACAACCCAGTATTTCATGAGAGAACAAAGCATATTGAGGTTGATTGTCATTTTATTCGAGAGAAGATACAGAAAGGATTGATCTCTACGGGATATGTGTAGACTGGAGAACAACTTGGAGATTTGTTCACTAAAGCACTAAATGGGATCCGAGTTGGTTACTTATGTAACAAGTTGGGCATGATAAATATCTATGCTCCAACTTGAGGGGGAGTGTGAAAGATATAGAATATACTTTATAATATTAGAATATACTTCAGAATATTCTAGGAATATACTTTAGGATATTATTATTGTATAGAATCTTATATAGGAATATTCTATTTGTAATGTATATTTATAGGGACTTTCACAACTAATGAAATACACAGAAAATCCTTCTCTCCATCTTTATTATCATTCTAGTTTATATTTCAACACAGCCCATTGCACCAAAGCCGGAAAAAATCTTTATGGACACTAACTGTAAGGCAGAACATGCCAGCTTGGCAGTTTAACAAGGCTTAATGTGATTTTAGTCCCAGCAAATATAGTGTTTTTAAGTCACTGCAAAATTATTTTGTTTTTCATATCTGTAATTCAAGTTGTTCTTTTTAGTCCATCGCTGACCATACCAATCCTTGTTTGACATGTCTTCCATTCCCAAGTCGTCCCAAAAGTACTTAAACTTTAATCCCAGAGAGCTATTCAGACCTATATTATAGACATGTATGATTAGTGTCACTTAGTTATAAGTTTTTAACTCCACTAATAGTTTCAAACTGAAATCAAAGTTTGAAGTATCACAATCATGTGGCTAATCCCCTACCCCTGGCTTGAGAGTTTAGCCTCTAATAAACATAATCGTTGAAAAATAATTGACTGAATTCATGTTCAAAAGCAATAAAGAGAATTGATTGGAATAGGCTTTATCTACTACTATGATTAGTGGTACCATGAATCATGTTATTTCTGAATTCATAACTTTTGTGTCTCTGTTTATTTAATTTGCGCTTATCTACCAGAAAAATCAACCAATTTATATTATTAAATCATAGATTAGTCCGAAACCAATCATTTTTATTTTTAGTGCTGAAAATTCACTTGTCCTTGTGGATCGACCCTGGTTCACTCTGGGTTATTTTTATTACGATTGATAGTTAACTAATCTTTCAGGTCCTAGATTGATAAAGTTCCTAAAAAATAATCTTATAAATGTGATAGGATAATATACTGTGATATTGTGTATAGAGGGTCCAGGCCTGGTATTAATTAGATATGGGTCATCCCGTAATGAAAATAATATAAGGATGAGCTGGGAGTAGAAGAGGGGTAGACAGAAATTTGGATAGTTGGCTTGGCCCTTGGGAGAGAGGGACGCTCTCGAATCAGTCCCATTTTACTTTCTGTGTTTCCGTTGTTTCTGCCATCTCTATTCTTGTAATTTTTCTAAAATCCTGGAGTAATATACTGTTCGCATCACTGCTTTGGGGAGTCTCTATCAATATGATCTTGGGTAGCATTAATAGTATTTGCAATTACTTAACAAAGATTAGTATGGAAAATTGAGGCTTGCAGCAAAATTGCTCAACTACGCAAAGCATAATCATCCAAATGCAGGAAGTTAGATAACAAATTGATTTAGTTAAATAAGGAACTAAATATTTTCATATTTAATTTGGATAATGTAATCCACTACAAATAAAGACCCTTCCTTAGTGGAGAGGGCTCGATGATTAAAGCATAATGTTGGCTCCATAAGCTGGGGCCAAGATTTCACTCTTGATGGATTCAAGATACCCTTTGTTATTTCTTATCTTCATTCGAATTCAAAATCTTTATTCTTCTCCTTTAATTAACTGCCTCTTTACTCAAACAAACCCCATATAATTTTCATACGGATCTATCAAGTAGGCACAAAGTCAAGAATCAATCTAATAAAATAGGGTTCATGCTCATAGTGTTGGATATTCATATGTTGATTAGATAGGTTGTCCATTTCAATGATGCTCTCAATTTAGGTGTGGCAATTTAAAAGCCTGGAATAGTAACAGCCAAAATGTCATTTCCAGATCAGTCGCAAAAGCTGAGATGCTATGACCGTAGCCACATGATAACTTAATTGGTGGAAGCACTTATTTCAAGAGTTGCACTATGGTGATAAGTGGTGACAAAGAAGCATAGTAGTATAGTACATTGCCTCGCATCCAGTACACTATGAGAGGGCTAATCACAATGAACATCCAAATTGTCTCTCAGGTCAATTGCAATTTTGTAAGATATGTATGATGTGCATAGGAATTAGGAAAATAAAAATGGGGTTTATTGCAAAATGGAAATATGCATAAAAACATGGTAGACTCACCTTTACTTTGTTTCCGATAAGGAGAAGAAAATGAAACTCAGACACCGCCATTGAACTTGGTTTAACAGATTCAGTCCCTTCTAATAGATTCAAATAGTCCAAAAGAGCTTTATTTTCCACAAAGTTTTCATCCCCACTAGGTGAGCTGCACATTGGTTTTTTATGTCCAAGCAAACAAAAAATCAGAGAACAAACTTTCCAGAAAAGTCAAAAGTTCATTCAACCAGAAATGATCATGTTATGGAAATGTAGCTAAAATTGAAAAAAAAAAGTCATATGAGAATATACGGAGTATAAAACAAGTCAAGGTTCTCATCTTGTACCTGTGATGTGCACCAAAGTTTAGGTCACCATGGTAAATTCCAGCACCTGAAAGCCAAGCAAAATGCACAGCTCTCCTTTGCTTTATAAAGAAGTGCAGTTCACTGCAAGAAGGGCATATGGAGTTATTTTTGTTATTCTGGAAATTCAATTAAAAGATTGCACGCATGAGCACATGTGCCCCGCAAATGAAATCCTTAAGTATGCTATGCACTTCTAGGTGGACGTTGCTTAGGTAGATCTCAGATAGCACCATATTAAAAAAGCTTCTGTTAACTAGTAATAAATTTGGCTTTTTAAAGTTAAAGATTTTATCAGTTAAACAGGCTGCGGTGAAACGAGTGTTAAATGTAATGAACTTGCCTGTTTGGTATTTCTCCTGGAAGTTCCATAAAATGAACTGTGCGGTCCACGTAACTAGCAAAAACAGACTGCAGATAGAAAATGAAAAAAAAAAAAACATGCCAATTAGCACAAAGCATGAAAACTATGCAAAAGTGGGTGTGGGTCGGTGAGTGTGCTGACATATACGCAGATAAAAGTATTATCAATATGATAAATACAGAAAAAAAACATAAAACCTCTAGTGAACCAATCCCGGTGAAAGAATACAAGCGTGTGGGAGTAACAGCCATCACATAATATCTAGTTCCATTGTTTACACTAGCTGTTTCCATCTGCAAAAAAAGGTAAGACTATTATTTCACTTTATCCCTTTTGAAATGGAAAATGAAAATATAAAAGTACAAGTCTTCACAGTTGGAGACCCTTTACGGAGAATAAAATAAGCAACAACACGAAAAAAATAATATTTACAATACAATTTCAAGTTGTCAACCAAGAAGTGCTCCACAAACCCATGAAACTAAGGAAAAGATACTTTGAAAATTAATTATTACAAAGAGGGAGAAAAAACTATAAAGGTAGAAAAAAATAAACCTGCAAACCCATGAAAGACTCAGGTAGTTCCTTGAGATCAAATAGCAACTTTATGTGTTTCTCCATCTTATCTTTCGCATCTACATACACCTCATAAAGTTGGCCGCTATCTGTCCCAATAATGACTTCCTTTGTTGAAGCTGCATAAACAGCAAATCAAATCAAGGCAGTGCATACGCTACCTTCAATGGAGTTATGTATAAAAACAAAAGAAACTGTCCCTAGTGCCCACCTTCAGTAATTTGCTGTCGGTTCCAAGCAACAGCATTCACAAGAGACCCTTTCAATTTGCTAAAAATGCGAGGTTTAGCCCATTTTGCATGCATGTAATATGTATCAGCACCTCCACTGCCAACAACTGTGGCAATACAGTGACTACCTCCAGGATCAAGAAAAACTTTATGAATAGACTGTTCCCCTGGTCTACCGGCACAAAGATCAATATCTGTATAAAGTTCATCAATGATGAACATTAACATGTACAATCAGCGTATGATCTTCATTATACAAGATGTTTAAAAAACCCAAATAAGCCTCAATGGTTCTTTCCTATTATGGAGCAAGGCGTAAGCTCCGACCAAAACATAAAAAGGAAAGCAAAAACAAACAGATCCATAATACAAAATAATGCCCAAGTTTACACACGAATATGGAGAATCCTAAAATCAATGAAACTAACTGTCAAATACGGAGTACATAATAATGCCCAAATTTAATGATTTTTTGTGAACCATAGGTAGATTAATGAACTGTGTTTAATCCAGCATTCCAGCCATGTTAATACTGCAAGAACAACATCCAAGCTTTCTTCCCAAAAGGGTTTGGGGTCAGCTAACATGAATCGATGTATGATACCAGAGTTAATCCATCCATTTTAATAATAATAGAAATATATCCAGTCCATCCATTTGTCAATTGTCATGCCTTGAGGGAGAAGAGATGAAAAACAATGGGCAAGAAGAGACAACTAGACGAATAGGGTGGCACACTGGCAATGGGGAAGTGATGGGAAATTATTGTTGTTGTTCGATTTTCAAATTTTGCTAAGTTTTAGCCAATGTATTATTTTAAAGGGGGGAAATACTGATAAGAAAATGGGATGGAAATTCCAAAACCGGGAGGCTTATGCCACAAGGGTGTAAGCTATATCCCCTATACATTTTCTTACAGCTTAGCACCGCCTTAGGGCATACCAGTGTAACTCCAGAAAGCCTTTTAAAACCTTTAGTATACTAGTAATACTACCAAGTAAAAGCAGAGAAAATAGTATGCTCAGAATGAATTGTAATTCCAATCTGGAAACGAATAAAAAAAATCAAGTGAGGTAGATTGTATTATTCTACCACGAAGTTTTGATAAACAGACGTGTATTAAAATCTGGACTAAATCCACATGAAAAATGATGATTCACATTTTTCACAAATTACATTTCATTTTGCTTCCATGTCAATTCCTTCAATTTTCTACAATTTCAATTACATTTCTTTGGCTCTGCTTATTGCTAAATGGTGCAAAATTACAAATCTTGTATTAAGGAAGCATTCCAGCTCACTGGTTGAAGCCCTCAGGGAGGTTCGAAACTCTATGAAAGCAGCTTTAGCCATCTTTACCACAGGTACTGAGCCCCTCATCCCGACTCCCCGGTAAAAAAAAATACAAATCTTGTATGAAGTGTGAAATAAGGAGAGTACATATCCACATAAAACCAATAATACCATCAGAATTGCCGACTCCAAAATCATGTCTGATCACCCATCCTTTGCTGGTACCCAAAACAGTGACATCGTTTCCCGCAGCCATACAGGTAATCTCTCCACGCCCCTTTGTAGCGTACCTTTCGAGAAGATCTACCGAGAATACCTGCCGCTTTGACTCCATTCTTAAATTCAATGAGCACCGATCACTACAGAGCTAAAGAAATAGGACAATACTAGTTAGTGGTCGACCAGAAGCATATCAAAGCAACATAGCATTATTGCTGTTAAATGCAGTAATATAAACTGTAGTTCACGACTCCACAGTCTCGTAGAACTCGCCTGAGGAAGAGAATACCGAGCTATGGCGCCTGGATTAAGTCCCATTAATTGATCATAACGATATAGTGGAAATGTTGCACAGACCCATATATATAGAAACAGAAAAAGAATCGTCTTTGTTTAATTTCAACATCGTTTTACCCGGAAGAAGAAAGAATCACCTTTATACTAAACTAAACCAGATTGAACCCGGGGTCTTGATGGAAATGGGAAGATCTAGGATAGGCGGCAAACCAGCTGGAGAGAGCGATGTGCATAGAGCAGGTGAGTAGAGATGCAGCTCCGTGGACCGCTCGTCCGGCCTGATAGGTGGTGGTATCGCACCCTTCTAGTTCTCAAAGCAACCGCACGTGAGAGTCTCGCCTCCTAATCCTTAGGCATGGACATGGAGGATTGGAGCCTTGGAGGGATACTGGAACAGCTGGTTCCAGGTTCCATGAATTAGTTGCCCCAAAATTGGTTGGGATCGGTTCTTCTGTTCTACTTCTATCTAAAAATAATAATAAATGGGATCAAAAAACATTTGAATGTAAATCATCTATATTGACATTTAAGTAATTATAAACCATGAAATTATGTCTATATTGACATTTAAGTAATTATAAACCATGAAATTATGTTTGTGAAAACTAGATGAAAAGATAATTTTGTGAATTTTTGGGAAATTCTTATATTTGATTGATGGAATAAATCTTAAAAGAAAACATGTTGTAATCATTTGATAAAAAATAAATTGTTTGACATAGTTCTACTTAGTATAACAAGCTTGTAACTAATAAATGTTAAAAACTATATATTTTTTCTAATGATACACAGTGAAGTTTCTCAAAAAGGTCTTTTATTAAAAAAAAACTCTTATATATTGTCATATCAAACAGACAAACAGAAATTTGTAGAGACTTTTTCAATTGTACAAAAGTTAGAAGGTAGAAACATATGTCTTGTTGAGGTTAATTCCTCCGACTCTAAGGGCCCAATAACTAGTGAATACAAGTTGTCAACCTCTAGCTATGAAATAAATATTGTTATCTATACTATCATGGGGTAGGGTGTTAGTGGTGATGTGGCGATCAAAAGTAACGAGCTTCCCAACCACCAAATCTTGCATATCTGGTGCATTTAATGTTCTTCCCGCTAAAATCCTGCTTCCCCTCCAAACGCCATGGATGCTTGTATCTAAAGGCTTCCAGGTTCCGGACCCAAGCAAGGACAAGGCTGGTGGCCACTCGGCCCACGCATGGCGTCTCCCCTTAGGCCCCTTGCTTGATTATCAGACCCACATTGGACCAAGGTAGGGGCAACTGGCATCGCGTCTTCTAGAGGAGCGTCAGACGTCCCCCTTTTCGTTATAGGGTATTGGGCGGATCCAACAATGGGTCAATTACTCCAACGTGTCTGTTGAACATGCACACAGTGTTTTTTTATTCTTTAGTCAAATATAGAAAAGATGACTCATGAATACTTCATCTGAACTTGTTGTTTAGGTGCACTTAGCTTTTGGAGCAGAATATCTACCACTCAAAGTCTTGTTATCCATTGTGGGCTTTTGGTACAAGTTAGTGGTGTGAAAGCAATATGAGACTTTATTGGTAGATATGCTCATATGGATGATATCTACTTTGATACGATTTTGGCAAATGCTTTGGCGGGATTTTGAAAGGCATAAGGCTAACCGTAGATATTTGAACACATTTAGAACGGCATATGAAATATGTGAGGTGGGGGTGATTAGTTTTGAGAAAATTTATACATGAGAAACTGCGAAATTTCAGTTTTGTTTGTGGGGTAATTGCACATTAGGACAAATCATGTTGACAACATCGAGATGAGGAGCGGGGAGAGAGATTGGAAGGGGTGGATTTGGAATATAGCATATTGGATAGTGTTGGTTGACTTTTTAAAGTTGAGGCTAAGGCTATTAATTGGTCGAGTTATTATAACTATTCAAGCCCGAGCTCAGTTTCGAATCTAACAAACTAAGCTTGATGAGCTTCGAGCTTGAATATGAACTGAGTTTTAAGTTCAAATACATATTCTAGCGAGCTCGATCATATGTGTATTCGACTCGGTTCGACCTCGAACCTCTCGAACACCCTGAAACTCTATAATAAATTAGGTGCAAATCTAAACGTAATTAGTGTGGTTTTGTAATTTCAAATATGATTATTCAACGAATCGAACACATGTCGAATAATCCGGACACGATGCTATTAACGAGCATAAGCTACACATCTAAATTTGATCATACTCATCAAGCTCATCTAGCGAACACCTACTAAGTCGAACTCGAGCCTCATTTGTAACATTTGAAAAGCTCGTCGAGCACCGAGTTCAAACCTAAACACCATTATCATCGAATCGAACCGAACTTGAGCTCTGAGTGTTGGGGCTCGAGCCATTAACAGCCATAGTTCAGACAATGCATCAAGTGAACCAACAAGAAATGATTCCATTTGCAAAAGCATTATTGAAAGGGGATTTATTCTAAGGTAAGAACCATGGTGCATTGGTGCCTCACAAATAAATGAGGATATTGTAACACATTTGAACAACACAAGTAATTATCTCATCATTTATTAATTTGTAAATTATTCAATTGCAATATTTTAATTGATCTATGTAGAAAAGATATGGTATGTAACTCAAGGGTATTGTAGATTTGCCTTATTCTAATATGAAGTATTACCAAAAAGATAATGAAAATATATTGCGCCACAATTACTGTTATGGACTATCACTAACCAAACTGCCACAAATGATCATTGCACATTCAACATCTCCACAATCACTATATCGTTCACATTTGGTCTATACACCAATATAATGGTCATAAAGCATTAAAAGCCCGTTTGGTGACCCTGTAGCCTGGCTTATCGGGCTTATCAGTTAACTTTTTCGCCAATTTCGTAACTTTTAATTTCGCACGGTGAATTGTGCAATAGTAAGAGAAAGTGATGTTGTAGTTACTTTTCTGGATGTATCGGTTGAAATTATTGTAGATGATCGTTTTAGCTATTTTCATATGATTTTTTATTTATTTCATAAAAAAAATAATTTAAATATAATTTTTCATAAATCAAGAGAATCAGCTAATCCAGTTACTTCAGCAAGAATTTCATAAATTTTAGCAGAATCAGTCGATCCAGTCTGTTTCAGTGTTACCAAACGAGTTCTAAGGTATAACATTATTTTCACCCTTATTTTAGTAAAATGTTATCATTGCCTCATACTCCATATTTTGGAAGTTTTTTACTATTAGCGGTGGCCTGGAATCCCTGGATCATCGCTGACTGCGTTAGGACTGGACTCGACACTGTTTTAGGCTAGTCTAGAACTGGTTTTCCGCACCCAATCCAGTCTTCGTTACCCAGTCCCGAGTGTGAGTGTTTGAGACTAGGGGTTGGCCAATTTTGTGTCGGTCCGCAACATCTGGATAATTTGGAAGAATTGACCGAGAGGTTCGAGACCAAACCGGTCATTCTTTCAGACCATGTCTGGGACCGCTATCGAGCGGGCCGGTCTTGGATCTCCTTTTTCTTTGGCAAGGACCGGCCGGTCTCAATGCAAAACGAGGATCGAACCAAACACATGCCTAAGTGTGTTGCAAATCGATGGTATAAGAAAACCAAGATCGGACTAGACACATGCCTAACTGCCTAAGGGAGTGTTTGCAACTGCTTCTGCTTAAAAAAAAGCACTTTTGGAGAAGTAATGAAAAAGTGATTGGTAGTAAAAGTTGATAATGTTTGAGAAAAAAGTGATTTTGAAAAGTAAAAGTTGGTAGTGTTTGGTAAAATAAGTGCTTTTTGTGTAATAGAAAAGGGAAAAGCACTTTTCACACGCAAGCCGAGAAAAAGTAAAAATTGGTAGTGTTTGGTAAATAAGTGCTTTTTAAAGCCAAAAGCTGAGAAGTGCTTTTTTTAAGCAGTTGCAAACACTCCCTAAGTGTGCTGCAACTCGATGTCCATGGTATAAGCTGGCCCAGCAGACACGAAACTGCCGTATGAATAAATCTGATTCCACTTATTTCCACCTATAATGTAATGTTCAATATTACATCTACCAAGAACCAATTATGAATATTTTGGTAAGGTAGAAACTCACATGTGTGACATAGAGATGATTATCTCTGCTAAATTAGAAACATACTCCCTCCGTCCTATTTTAAATGTCCCGGAAGAGAGTGATACGAGTTTTAAGAAAAGTGGGTTTGTGTGGCTGATATTAATTGATAAAGTAAGAATAAAGTAAGAATGATTTTGAGCCACACAAACTTTACCAAATAAGGTATGTAACAATTAAATAGAAACATCTTAATATGGTAAAATGAGACATTTAAAAGGGGACGGAGGGAGTACAATACAATAGTACTCCATCAGTCCCGCTAACTTTGTCCCATTTTACCTTTTTCGTCTGTCCCATTAAGTTTGTCTTATACCATATTTAGTAATATTTGGGTAGCTACAATTCATTTCTACTTTATTCACACTTTATCAATTTAATACTAACCACACATTTCTATTTTTTCTTAAAAATCCCACCACACCCCTTTATCCCAAACTTAACCAAGATTAAACTAACCAAGATTAAGATCAATCAACATTAATTTGGTTTAACGATAGAAAGGTTGGGTACCTTGTTGTCCAACACACAAATGTTACCCTGAGACCTAAGTCCCTAACTTTTATTTGCAAAAAACAAGTAATAGAAAAATCCAGCTTGATGATCAAATAGTAAATGTAATACCAAAGAAATTATGATAACATAGTTATGTAACTTTTATTATTTGATATAAAGGAATACATAAATACATTTATCCCACACATATATGGTATGACTTCATGGTATAGAAACAATATTGTAGAAATAAGCTCACTCCAAATATATGGATGAGCAACATGCTGCTCATCAAATTTCAAACTTAGTAACCAATACAAAGTTACAAAGAGCTCATTCCCACGAAATTATGAAAGTGATGGCCTGAATATTGTAGAAATATTCGGGTCATTACCACAATAGAAGAACACATTAAATATCCCGGTATTTGGCACATTCCGTAGGGACCGTGGGGTACCTTGCCTTGTCGTAACAGTAATTGTAGATAGTATATTTTTGGCGAACCCAACGGAGCAATCTGTACTGTTCACCGTCCAAATCTTGGAAAACCTTTTGGTCCCACCACCTCTTGCCACTTGTGTTGCACACATGGACTTCTTGGGGGGAAGTTGCGTCACATCCGTCCACGTGGAAGGATGTGTAGGATGCTTTGAACGGGGCCTTGGACCAATCGGTTTTCTCTAGCCCACCTCTCGTGGCCCAATCATCGGCATTCCACAAGCTCGAGTAAAGCTTCATGGGCTGGTTGAATGGGAACTTTAGGCCCAAATCCTTGGAATTCTTGAACACTCTAATAGGCACATTATCCACAAGAAACCTGCAAAGTAAGAGATGGTGAGGGGTGTACAACAGTCAACAGGCCCATGGGCCGTAACAAACCAATAATAAGATTTGTAACAGATCACTTCACAAGACAAAGTAGTCATGTG